GTGTACACAATTTCTAAACCTGAAGAGAAAACCACCAGGTATTTCGAAAAAGAATTCCCCCCAAAAACCACACAGAAAGATTGTTAACCCATGCTGAAATCTTTTGACTTTGTACGTATAGAAGTATCAACAGTTCCCGTAGCTCTACAGGGAACCCTAGGGCTTCAAGATGTAAATACAAAACAGATGTAGGCATTCTGATGCAAGCAGCACACAGAAGTTTGACTCAAGTCCAAATCCTGCTGCAGGAGATGACTGTTCAGGTAAGTTCTCAGAGACTTTCAACTCACCAAACAATTCAAGGTGTCCTACTGATTTTGGAGGGTAATAATTCAGTCATATTTTGGGGTCACCTTTGCCTCGAATATAAACAAAACCCCAAAATTCTCACACATCTTCTGCAGTGGTATACACTTACCTTTTGTGCTTTCTGATGGAGTAAGGGCAGCTGTTCTCCTTCACCTCTGAACTACATCAGTATTTTCATAGAAGAGCTCGGACCCAGGGAGGAAACCTCCATCTGTTGCACAAGACAACGTAGTATCTAGCAAAAACACACAATGCCATTCATTTCAAGGGTGCTGAAATATTCCTCCTGCTTTTTATGAGCTACTGAAACAAAATAAGCAGCCATTTTCCCCTTCATACACACTAAAGCATACAGTTTTCATCCGGCTGCATCCTGTAGGACACTGCCAAAACCAGCCTTTTCTTTGCTTATTTAAAACAACTTATTTCTCAAAGTTAAAAGTCTGTGTCATGGCCTTATGATTTTTTGTTAAATTTGTGTTGAATGACACTTACTGCCATCTGCACACCCCAGAATTTACTTGCACATCCCTAAAGCTGTGTTGTGCTGCTGTATTTCTCTGAAGGGTAGTCCAAAAGATTTGCCTGTGGACACAAGGAAACCTATGGCAGTCACAAACAGAACAAATCTAAAGAACATTCGCTCAAGTAATTAAAAATACACACTTTACACACAAAACTACAGAATTACGGATGTTGTATTGCCAGAGCCCTTTGATAAAAGAAGACTTTGAAGAAAGTTTTACCAAATAAATCACAAGATTCAGGCTTTGAAGATGGTTCATCTTATTTGAGAAACGCAGGAAATGACAAACCGTAGAAAAACAAACAAAAACACAACACTGGATTTCATCATCTAGAAGCACTGCTGTTAGAAATGTGGCATTTGGAAGAAAAACAAAGACAAAATCAAACCAATCCAAGACAAAGCAGAACTAACCCAAAGGGTCAGCACAACATTGATTGGAAATGCAGATAAGCATTTCAAACAGGCCACACTTTTTATCAGTTGGGTTCAGATTCCAAGTGCAATGACAGAGAACATTCACATCTCATAGTTATAATATGCAAGTGTGCTTGTAAAAACCAAATTTGGGGCCAAAACAGCCCTGAGAGTCTGCATACATTGCAATCTTTAAGCCAAACCACCTGTTGACTGTCCAATTCAGCCTGTATCACAAAATGGAAATAGATCAAGGATGTGTAGCTTTTATTGTTATTTTCTTGTATCTGTTTAAGGGATTCCGGGCCCTTTATTTCCTGCATTCAAATGGAAAGTGTTCCTACTACACATGCTGTATGAAGTGACTGAGGTTAACGCCACTTCACCAGAACTAAGCTGCTTCTCCTCACAGATCTAGCAAGCCCCTTCTTGGCTACTTTCATGCGAACAGAATCACAGGGAAACAGAATGGTCTGAATTCAACACCAGTGAGGAGTATCTGTGAACAAAATTTTCTGAAACAAATCTAGCCTGGAAAAATAACAACAACAACAAAAAAAAAAACACCCAAATACAAATAGAACCACCCTATATCCACATTATAATGTGTCTGGATTTCCAATAAATTTATCTTGCTTTTGATATGGATTTTAAAAACAACTAAGAAAAAATCCCCACCACCTGAAATGCAGCATTCACATGCCTGCTTACCAGTGCCACAAATGCACCATAGCCTGAATTCATTACAAGTAGCAGCATATGTTAGTAAAAAAAAATTAAGTTTCCTAACTATTTCATTATGCTTCCCATGTGGGAAATTCTAGAGCCAAAACAGTGTCCAGGAACCGTGTCTGTGTTAACTTCACATAAAAGCCCACCACTTTTACAACCATAGTTCAATTTAATTATTGTACACAGGTTAACAAAAATGTATCACAAGTGAAAACTAAACATTGGATTTAAACAAAAACAATATTCAGAATGGTACAACACATGTTCATTTTCTCCAGAAAGTGATATTACAAGTGTTCATCTTAGGACAATTAGCCACACTATAGACAGAAATTCAGTTAAAATGCAACTGTGGTCTACTAAGCCACTTATTTTAGCACTACAGAATATTTGAAGTCAGAGTCCTACAGCCAAGGCTTAAAAATCATTAGAGATTCAAACCCCAAAATGTCTTACAGTCAAAATGACAGTATTTAAAAAAAAACAAAACAACCCCCATACAATTAATTAAAAGGCTGCTGTATATAGTTTTATCCTCTTCATAGCGCTCTCTATTTGTACAATTGCTGAGATCACTGGTAATAGGGTCTGTATCTGGCTTGATCGGGGTGGTGCGGTCCAGCAAGAGGGGCCTGAGCAGGAGGCCCCTGCATCCTCGGAGGTGGAGGCGGCCCTCTGGGAGCCGGCCAAATCCCTGGACTCATGCCCCCTGGCTGCGTGAAAGGGGGACTAAGAGTTCCTTGATCTTCACTGAACTGTGGCAAAGAGTTAGGGTTATAGTGATGGGGTGGGGGGGCACTGACATTTACAGGAGGGCCTCCGTGCTGAGGGGGGGGAGGTCCCGGAGGAGGATGATTCATATACGGCGGCATCTGGGCAATGATATGTCCAGGCGGCGGGGTTATCGGAGGAGGAGCAGAGGTCATTGGCGGCGGAGGAGCTTGGCTATACACCATGTGAGGTGTGCCCGCCGCCTGGGGAGGATGCTGCAGAGGATGGCTTATTGGAGGAGGCGGAGGGGGGGGGCGGCGCATAATGTTGCTGCGGAGGCATAATGTGGTGCGGGTGCGTTACCACCGGTTGGCCCTGATACTCGGGGTGATGATGAGCCGGTGCCGGGGCGGGCGGAGGTGGCTCTCGAGCACCCGAATTCGAATCATCTTGAATAGGGACGGTTATCAAGTTGCTGTGTTTTCTCGTAGAGATGCGGAAGGTGTCCTGACTGACCGGGCGAGGCGGCGGCGGAGCCATGGACATCTCGGCAGGAGGCGGGCGGATGTCTTCGTGCGGCTGGTTGTAATGCTCGTGCGGCACGTGCTGTAAGGGAGGCGGCGGCATCATGATGTGCTGCTTCGGCGGAATGTGGCTCATGTGGTGTTTCTCTGGAGGCATTATGAAACGCTCCGGGATCTCAGCAGGCGGAGGGGCAATGGGAGGATGCACGGGTTCAAGAGGAGGACGAGTCACAGGCTTTCCAGCTCTCATATGGCGGTGGTTGATGTGAGCCTGTAAGTCTCTCTGTGACAGGTAAGTTCTCTTGCACCCTTGGACTATACTGCACATGAAGAGAGACCCTCGCACACACTGCTCGATGCGCTGGACAGGTTCGTTACAGCTAAATTAGAAGAGAACATTGGTTCATTGCCATCATATAGAGTGAGTTCTGCAGGGCTTTCCCCCCCCCCCTGTTGTTTTTGACTATTTTTTGATAATTACCAAAATTAGAATGAACATTTTCCCCCCACTAGAGCAACAGAACACAGTTGGTTGATTTTGAAGTTAAGCAAACATCTAAGGCTCCAAATACAACAACAGAATAGCATCAGAATTTCATAGGGTGGAAACTTAGACATGGCACCACCTTCTATCAGAAATTCCTTTTGTTTCAGTACTCTTCAAATTGTAGCAATTACAGGTTATCTACACAAACACTTAAACAGTGAGGTAAATGCCAATCTCTTAGCATTTGTGAACTGTGGGATATTAAGCTATAATTGAGTGGTGGACAAAGGAGCACTCTGCTACCTCTACCAAACGTACACAGAAGCATGCTAATAACAGTATCTGAAATAAGTTTTTAAAGTGTTCTTCTTCCATTTCCCTTAGTAAAAACCTAAAGAGAACTTACCCAGGACACATCTTGTCTCCCTTCTTCTCATGTAGTATAGCACAGTCATAGCAGAAAACATGCTTGCAAGGTATCTAGAAAAAAAACAAATGGCTCTGTTAGACAACATGTGTCATTTTGCACCATACAATGCCTCCACCCAGCACACAATTTCTAAGAAGTACTGAAGTTATCTATGAAGAACTTACATAAGAATGTTGCTAGCCGTTTACAGCACCTTTGAAACAGAAACTTTCAAAACCAGTCTGTGTTGTCAGGAAGGCAAGGGTTTAGTTTTCTCTTTGATGGGGTTTGGTGCATGCATGGTTGGTTTGTGGAATTTGTTTTGTCTTTTAAAGAGCTGGCAAACATTTTAATTCTGCTGTAATACAAACACCGAACCTTTAGGGATGCTGCATATGCAATCTAATTGCACTTGTCTGCAAAAAGGGAATGTTTTAAAAGCATTAAGAGTCATCAAGTCAGATCCCCACGTCTGTTACATCACACTCAGATATCTAAGTTCATCTCAGGGATTTTGTTATGCTAGTTTTTGAAAAGACATAAGAACTTACTTACTTCATTACAAATTGTCCATTGACATAAAGAGTATTATTAAATCTAAGTGGTGCAAGGCTGAAAACACACTAAAAACTTGTAAGACTTCTGTTGGCATTTTGGGGGAGCGGAAAGTGATTGCATTTGTTTTAAAGCTTTTGATTTTAGCTCTTCCAAGCTTACTTTATTAAATCAAAGGGCAAAGCAAACTCAGAGTCAGGCAGAACAACCCAGTCCAGCAGTTAATCACAGAATCACAGAATTGTAGGGGTTGGAAGGGACCTCCAGAGATCATTGAGTCCAACCCCCCTGCCAAAGCAGGTTCCCTACACCAGGTTGCACAGGTAGGCATCCAGGCAGGTCTTGAACGTCTCCAGAGAAGGAGACTCCACCACCTCCCTGGGCAGCCTGTTCCAGTGCTCCGTTACCTCACTGCAAAGAAGTTCTTACACACACTTGTTTGAAACTTCCTATGCTGCAGCTTATGTCCGTTTCCCCTTGTCCTGTCTCCACATACCACTGAAAAGAGACTGGCCTAACCGCAATGGCCCCCACACTTCAGATATTTATAAACCTGGATCAGGTCCCCTGATAAGGCCCTGGTTCCATCTCAACATTGTTCTGCTGCTTACTCAAGAGGTTTGCTAAAATCACCACCCTCTGGAGGCCCCACAGAGACACGTAACACCTGTTACATAAAGGGACACCGTGGCTGCCTCTTCCGAAGAGCCCACTCACCATGCGCCCATACATTTTGATGGGCAACCCACACTTATCGCAGAAATGGACGGGCGTATCATCCTTCTCCCCCAGCAAGTTTATCTAGAAGAACAGAGAAAGGGGTGGGAAAAAGAGAAACATCACTAAAGCTTCTCACTGCAGTCATCACCAACCCACTCTTCCTGAATTATCAGACTGAAGCAAGACCACCACAAACATGAAAATGTATTTTTGGTACACCAAAAAGTAATGCAAGCGATTTCATCCTAGTGGATACTTCTTAAAATAACCTTCAGTTTGGTACGATTCACAAAGTTCCACCATTTCCCGTCCTTGATTTTACCTTATAGTCCCAAAATATGGGTCCGGGGAATCTCCTTTGATTTCCAAACATTTCACCTCCTTTGCATTCGTATCGCTCCTCTTCATTGAAATCAAATTCTTCTGTGGGAAGAGGAAAGAGAAGACAGATACAAGGCAATGCTGCTTCCCTAACTGACGCCGGCTGCTATTAAGTGCGTGCACTGGTGAACATCGAAATCACCAGGGCAGGCTGCAACACTCCCAGTCTGCTGGGCCATTCTGCAGAAAGGTACAACCAAAATAGTGTGAATTTGCTTGGGGAACTGGCATCTTTTACTCCTCATAGAGCAGCAGAACCGGGAAAACTGAAACAGGCTGTGCAGCTGTAAAGAATCCTGGATTCCAACACTGACCAAAGCCTTCAACAGTGCTGCAGAATATGCTGCCTCACTGCAGGGTGAGTTGCTTATAGCAATTTACCTTCATCCCCAGCTTGTGTCTTTGCAGGCATCCTGTTCATAGCTCTGGGAGCCCGAGGTGCAGGTTTGGTTTTATTGGTCTGCTTTGAGATCAGCTTTATTGGGATTCTTCTGCGAACATCAAGACCACCCAATGACGCTGAACTATTTGTTCCTTGCAAATCATTGTCTATGGAAGAAAAAGAAATTCTGTCATTTCTTAGTTATGAAATAGTTTCTGAAGATGCTAAAGTTATCTTAAAGACAGATAAATAAAGCTAGTCTGCCACTTTTCCATAGCAGGAAAAAACATTAACTGCACAGCCCCTACTGCAGCACAAACAGTACTGAGGAGTCGGCTCTTTCTATGACCATGAAAACACAGAACTCCCGCTGAGAAAATATTTTCACAATTTATATAAATTCATTTTTAAACAAATTAAAAGGAAATTAAGTTTCCATCTGTACTCTTAGAATCACAGAATGGTCCAGATTGGAAGGGAGCTCAAGGATCATGAAGCTCCAATCCCCTTGCTTCAGGCAGGGCCACCAACCTCCCCATTTAATACTAGACCAGGCTTGACCAGGCCAACTGGGCCTTGAACACCTGGAAGGACGGGGCATCCACAACCTCCATGGGCAGCCCATTCCACTCTTAGCAACCTTACATATCACTTACAAGTTCAGCATAAAGCATTGCAAAAATATTGGTGCTTAGAGTACACAGCATCCTTGCTAAACTAAAGATTACCATTCCTTTCTACAGGGCTCTTTTGTCCAGGTTTAAGTCTGGCACCAAAAGAAGCAAGGACATGCCTAACACAGGCACTGAGAGACAACCTAGAAGGAAAAGTGCTGCCAAGGATTGATGCACACCCCGATTTCCCCAGCTTTCAGCAAGTCAGCCTCAACCTACCACAGTATCTCATTTATAGAAAAATAAAATCACATCCTTCAAAACCAGCCTAGCTCACTTCCATTTTAATAGGAACATGCACTGACAAAATGGCACTTTCAGTCAGTCCTTTGCAACAAAGACTCAGACTTCTATTAAAACCCATCATTAGACTCATACTGAGACACCTTTAAGTCTATATCCCTATAGAAAGGAGATGGACACACAGAAAAGACCATAAGTAACCCAGAAGGCAAATTCTATTCTGAAAGAAAACTGACACAGAACTTGGTGACAGCTCCACAGTACGCAGGCACTGAGACAGGGCCCCATTAGGGTACTGTGCACAATGCCTGGCATAAACTCCATGCCTCAGAGCTCACAGCTTCCCTTTGCAACACCGCTTGAAGGGAAAACAAGAAAACAAAGGAAATGGGGGGCTTGCTAGAAACTGCAACCAAGTTTCAAATCAGGACTGTGCCTCCACAGTCACTTTGCTTCAGTATCATGAGTGCCCATATATCCTGATCCCTGAATCAGACAACACCTGCTTTCCTCCCATCGCTCCCTGGGTAGCACTGCAAACAGCAAACAGCACAGGCACCAACAGACCAGAACATCAGAGGAAGCAACACCAACTCTGTCTTCTACGCCTGTGGAAAACTGCTGAGTTTCTATTTATTTATTTATTTTTAAACAGGAATACCCCAAAACACACTACACTACAGGCCAAAGAAGTCCTACAGACCTCGGTCCATTTCAAGCACAGATAAACACACCAAACAGGAAGCCAGAACTCAGCAGGCCGCCTGCTCCATTGCTGCCCAGCAGGAGCAGTTCAGTTCTGACCCTGCCCAGCCAATGCTCACAGCCCCGATGCCAAACCCGGCGGGCAGGATTTGCTCCTATTTGCTCCTGCCTGTTTCCGGAAGGATGACACGCTCTAGTCCGCGGATGCACACCCAGCTGGGTCACGCCCCTAAAGAAGCACAACAGATGCATCCCAATCTGTTGACTTGGAGAAGACAGAACCAGAAGCGATGCGCTCTTCTAGGTGATCACCTTTTGGAGATTCTCTTTTTAGTTCGGTATTTTAGGATTTATTACAGTCCACAAGCGGAGCACAAAAACGAACCCAGATGCATTTATAACGCAAACTTTCCTAAGGGAAAAACAAGCATACCGGTAACAGAAAGCGGCGCGTGCCCTGCATATCCCCCAGTGCCGCAGCCCAACGGAGCGCGGAGCAGCCGGCTGGGGGAGGGGACCGCGAGTTCCGCGCTCGGGGCACGGCTCAGGCCTCGCGTCCAAGCCCGGGGCCCCGCCGGGTCCCGCCGCACTCCCGAGGACGAGGCCGAGCCGCCCTCTCGGCCCCGCGCCGCCACCCCCCGCGCTCAGCAGCTCCCCGGGCGGCGCAGCGGCCCAGCGGCCCCCCGCCTCTCCCCTCCTCACCATTGTGGTCCATGGCGCGGCGCGGGGCGCTGTGGGAGAGGAAGGGCGCGGCCGGAAGCGGAAGGCACGGCGGGACGGGCGGGGAGAGCACGAAAAAGGGCGCGGCGGAGAATCGCCGATGGCACCGCGGCCCCGCGCCGGCAGGGCGGTGAGGGCATGGCGGAGCCTACAGGCAGCGCGGTGCTGCCGCCGCTCCGCCGCACGGCAGCGCGAGACTGCCGGCTCCCGGCGGCCTCCGCGGGTCGGGAAAAGAAGGCGGCGACGGCGGCGGCCGTGCCGCGGTGGCTGCCGGGATGGCTGCGGGCGGACCGCGGCCCCTGTGGGGGGTGTAGCGCATGCGCGCTGTGGAGAGCGGGATCGTCCAATATGGCGGCGGCGGGGGTGGTGTTCGGAGCGGGTGGTGCTTGTCCTGCCGTCCCTGCCTCCCGTACCGTCTCGGCGGGAAGCCCTTCCGTGAGGTGCGGGTGGCTGAGCGCGGGCACAGCTGTCCCGAGGCTGCGGGTCTCCTCCCTGGAGATCTCCATAAGCTGCCTGGCCGTAGCCCTGCGCACCCTGCTCTGGGCGGTGCTTGGCGCTGGGATGCTGCGTCCCTGCAGACACATTTATCGTGACTAAGCTGCAATTTAAGCCTGTTGTTGCTTGTCTTAAGTCCGGACGTTGCAGGGAAAGGGATATGTGGTTTTCCCTCTGTTTGCTGCTAGGCATACTCAAGGGAAGAGTGCCGCTCATCCCTGCACAGTGCGCCTTATTTCCACGTGGTAACGAATTCACAAAGAGTAAAAAAATGCAGATGCATACAGTGTTTTTCCAATATGCACAATTTTATTTTCTAGTCAGTGGATACAATTGCATTCAATTCACAGCTTTGTAAAACAGTAATAAAATGTATCTCCAAATTTAGTACCTGATATGTAAAAGCTATAGTAATACTCAAAATGCATACAGAAATGTCACCTCATCATTCTACTGGGGAAAAAAACACCACCATATCTAGTTGCATTACTTAGGGTTGTCTGAATTAGTACAAAGTTAGAGTACAAAGTTATTAGTACAAAGTATAGAATTTCAGCTTTAATTGTTTGGGTATCCTTCACCAGATGGATGCACACACAGCACAAGGAAGCACGCAGTCCCTAACCCTCTGACAGAGGTGTCTGAATGCCCTCTGCACGTGTCTTAGTGCTCTGTGTAAATGCAGGCCTTGTGTGGAACACTAATGTTCAGGACAGGTCAAATACTTCGTACCAGATAAACTGAAAACGCTACTATACCTTGAAGAAATACACAGTACAGGAATGAAAGTACAATAGAATCACAGAATGGCTTGGGTTGGAAGGATCATGAATCTCCAACCCCCCGTGTGCTGGGCTGCCAACCTCCACCTTTAATACTAGACCAGGCTGTCCCGGGTCCCATCCAACCTGGCCTTGAACACCTCCAGGGTCGGGGCATCCACAACCTCCCTGGGCAGCCTGTTCCAGCACCTCACCACTCTCTCTGTAAAGAACTTCCTCCTGACATCCAAACTAAATCTTCTCTCCCTCAACTTAAAGCCATTTTCCCTTGTCCTGCTGTTATCTACCCTTTCAAACAGTTGATTCTCCTCCTGTTTATGGGCTCCCTTTAGGTACTGAAAGACTGCAATGAGGTCACTCTGCAGCCTTCTCTTCTCCAGGCTGAACAAGCCCAGCTCCCTCAGTCTGCCTTTGTATGTGAGGTGTTGCAGCCCTCTGATCATCTGTGGCCCTCTTCTGGACCCCCTCCAACAGCCCGTCTTTCTTGTACTGGGGACCCTAGACCTGTTCACAGTATTCCAGATGGGGCCTCCCAAGAGCAGAGTAGAGAGGGACAATCACCTCCCTGTCCCTGCTGGCCACCCCTCTTCTGATGGAGCCCAGGATACCATTTGCCTTCTGAGCTGCAGGAACACACTGCTGGCTCATGTTAAGCTTTTCATCCACCAGGACCCCCAGGTCCTTCTCTGCAGGGCTAAGGAAAAGCAGTACAGCTTTAAAAAAGCGATACAGGGCTTCAGAAAAGCAATACAGCCTCTGAGAAATGCTACTGGCCTTGTCCTGCTGCACACACTGGCAATTGTGCTTTATATTTCAGGTTAATACAGACTGGGGCCGTGGCCTGACAGAAGCTTTGTCAGTGATGTTGCAGAAGAGCCAAGCTCCTTAGTTACACTGCCAGGGAAGGGGGAAGACTGAAGATGGGTAGTGCTAAGAGCACACACTGTCAAGTCCCAGCCTGAGCCTCGGCATTAATGTAAATATGAAGCAAGACTTCCCTCTCAGGAGGTGCAGGTCAGTCTGGCTTGGCTCCTAAGCATGTGCCTAGTTTCAGCTCATGGAGATGCCAGTCTGGCACACAAAGGGCATTTGCCTGACAGTAAATAAAAAGGCATGTTTTCACTGGCTTGGTCTGTAACAGCAGCACCTTTGAGGATCAAACCCCCATTGCATTTGAAATGAAAAATGACACCGATTGTCATTAGAACTGAAGTTTTTTGCATTTATTAGGGAATAAAGATGTCAGTTTGATGCCTCTACCCACTATGTGAGGATCTTGTCCAATTGATTGAAATTTGTAGGTTTTTAAAAAAGATCTTAATGGAGTTCACTCAGGTCTGTAGGGCAGAATAACATACTTAGTGCTTAGCTTTTCACCTGAGATTTTCCACTAACCTTACTTGCAGCAAAAATTTTCTCAGTGCAGTATGATATCGGAAAAGTTCTCTGATGTTATCAAATAAGGAACTTAACAAATATCAACGTAAATGCCAAGAACTGGGAAGCTTAAATACTGAGGGGACATTATACCTGGACATTTCTTATACTTCTGCTATTATATATTCCCTCATTGTGCAAAGATTTGTTGTTTTTTTTGTGTTTGTTTTTCCATTAAAAAATAATATAGTGCTAAAATATTAAGGTAGCAGTCCATTTTCCATCAAACAAATGTTTCTTCATGAAATTAAGATCACTGATTTACTGCATAACTATTTTATATAGTTCTAAAATAAGGATTAAAGTTCAGCTCCCTTATCTTCTGTAAATTATTGCACTTGTGCATTATGGACTGTTAAATGTCTATACATGTCCTGCAAAAGAACAGCAGCAGTTTGATGCAGAATATTAAAAGAAAAAAATATGCTATATAAAAATAGAATCATTCATTAAACTACTTAAACTTCTATATTTCATAGTTAAAAACCTTTATACTAGGTGACATTTTGACTCTCTTACTTGCATTCAGTAGCATCCATTAAATAACCCATTAAGTACTTGAGAACTAAGGTTTTCATTGATTCAGTCTGGGTCCCAATCTATCTCTTGATGGAAGATATATAGCCAAAATCATCTGCTGTATATAGTTCATTTTAGGGAAAATCATTAATAGTGGTGCATGATTTGCTACAGTGGGCTTAATACAGAGCTAATGAACCCATATCCAAACATATTTGCTAACGAAGGTTACTGTATTCAAAGTTTTTTTTTTTTTGTGGTTCAGTGCAGTTTCCTGTTCATGTGGCTGTCACCCATTTCAGCTATCCATCACCCTGTAGCAATTTAAGGAACTGCCTGGAAAGAACAATCCAGGTATGCTTCTCAAGATGGTTGCACAAATTTTCTAGAATGGCCAAACCTTGGCCGGCTAGGACTCTCACCCTCTCACTAGACGTTGTGCAAATACATAGCAGAAGGCCTGTGATCCAAAGATCTTCAACTTCTCTTCAACTTCCGAGGGCGGAGCACAAAGCAGCTTTTCTTCCTGTGCACACTGACATACCAATGCAATGCACCTTCTGCCTGACTAGCCCCAGAACTGAATACGTTTCATAACAGTCTTCTGATTTTTTTTTCCAATGTGTCACATGGAAAGTGCTTGCTGAATCAAGGTCCAGAATACTTCAGAGATAGTATTAGCTAAAATTTGGAGAATTCTAGAGATCTGTATCATTCAGACAAAGAATCATTGTTTTCTTCAAGTGCCAAGATTGGTTTCATTGCAGAAAATGCTTGAATAGTACTGGTGCATAAATATTGCAGTAAGACGGTCAGCAGTCCATCTTCATGATGCAAGTCTGCGCATAGCCTAGTGAAACATTGAGAGGGTGGAGAGAAACAGTTAGTTCTGAGCATGCACCACTTGGAAAAATAAAAAGTTTGTGTGTATGTTAACTCCACTGGGACTATGTTCAATGCAGCCTCACTGAGGGTAACTGTGAAAGGCCTGTTTGAAGCAACTGCCCTTTGACTTGTGTCTGCATTGGACAATTCGGGAAGATGCAGGTTTGAAGACATCTGGTCCTGTGCAACTACAGCTTCCTGTAAAACGCTTAATTTATGGAAGATGTCCATTGTGTTCTAGAAGAAATGAATGGGGGAGGCTGCCTGTTATTTTGGGCTTGGATGCTTGAAGCCTTTGTATGTCCTATGCAGTCCTAGAGGTAGTCCTAAAGTGACAGAGATCGGGAGGTGTTGCACACTATTGTAAACTATAATCTGCAACATCTCAAAAAAAGAAAAAAGCCAACAACTTGAATTGCTCCGCTAAGCATTGACATCCAGGTGGCCAGGGTGGGTATTTATTTATGAAGAAGGAGAGCATTGAGGGTTTGGTTCTACAGGCCTAACAGCATGGCTAGTGCTATAAAGGAATAAAACCAGCAGTATTCTATAGATAACAGATACATTCAGATCTGAAAGTCCATACCTCTTCCTGAACATCAAGCTCATCAGCAGGCCGGATTGTTTCTGTGAATTCTATAGGTTCTTTAGATTCTTGCATGAGTGAAATCTTAGTAGAAAGAAGGAAGCATGATGAGTTACATGTTTTCTGTATTACTGACGTTGATTTATTATTCTGAATTATCTCTATATAAATTCAACAACAACAGTCTTACAAGTCTGTTGTTCACTGTTCTTTGACAAAGCTGAGAGAAATGTGTATGTTGGAAAGCTTTTGGTAATGTCTCTCTCATATTACCAGTTACAGGTTTGTAAAAATAATAAAAGCAGAATCTGTCTCTAACTGCTGTATAGCTCTGTCAAAATGTTAGTCTCTACTATGCTACAGTAAAAAAGTCTAGATCCTGGATAGTAAGCAAAATTAGCAACATTTTTCCTTATTTTTATAAGGATCTTCTCCTAGTTATTTATCCCTAATGTTGATGTTAGATACCATTTATTTGTAACACTACAATAGGGATTGTTAGGGAAGGAATTGTGGTGCAAAGAAACAAAAACACTATCAGGCTGTTTTCATAATGTAAGGCCACATCTTTAAACATCACAGGATGTTCTGTTTGTCTTGAAAACCAGAACAACTAGAATGTGCAACTAAAATGTACAACTAGAACGTGCACAGAGGAGGGCAGTAGGAATGGTCACTATCCTGGAAGAACTGCATACACTCACACGAAGTAGAATGGGACTCCAACTTTTATGAAGGAGTTATACCAAATTATTAATGGTGCTGGGAAAGAGAATAGGGAAAGATTATTAATTCCAGTTAACAATACAGAGATCCAATAGGCTTAAAACAAACACAAGGAAATGTATGTCACATAACACATGTGAAATTACAGGACTCATCTCCACAGGATAGTATCATGCCAAAATGTGTAAATAGGTTCCAAAAGGACAAGAACCAACACATCAAAGAAAACTCCACCTGTGATGATTAAAAGCAGTGGTGCAAATGCAACTTCCAGCTGAGGAAGTTCTTATGCTGCCAGATGGCAGAAGCTAGAAAAGAAGTTTTAGGATGAAGAGTTCCCCTCACATCCTGCTTCTCATGTTCATTTCACTACCAAGATCCGGGGGCCGAGAGACACACACTTTGAACAGCAAAGTATTCATGTACTACAGAAGCTGTCCAAGTTATTAGATTCTTACTTTTTTTTTTTTTTTTGTACTACATGTTCTATGTAGTGTACAGTTCTATGTCTAGTTTTCATATGTGGCGTGCTGTAAGAGAAATTGCAAGGATGAATGCTAGATAATGGAAGGAAGTGAAATGTACTACTAGATAGCCTTACCTTCTCAAATATGGGATCCTGGTTGTCATTGTATGCCATTTGATTCCGGATGTAGAGCACAGCATCATGGACAGTCAGGAAGAATATGTCTTTTCTGACAATGTCATCAAAGAAGGCACTTCGTTCCAATTGAGATATAAGGTTGTCTGAATTAAAAAAATAAAAATAAAAAAAATTGCAGGTTAATACAATTTGAAGTAATTAAATAAATGTCAAAATACATGGCTGCAGTTATTAGAAATCAAATATGCAGCCAAATAAATAACGGGCCATGTTTTTTACTTGTTAATTACTTACATTTTAATTTCCACATTTTTTTAAAATCATATTATTCCTTGCATCCCAGAACAGCCCACCATGGTTGTCAGTGTGATAATTCACATTTTTTATTAGAAAAAAACCTGCTTCCACAATCCCATCTAGAGATCCCTTCTCATCCATATTTTATTCTTTGCACAAGTGATAGATTTGAAAGTTTACCTTGAGATGAAGCGAAGTACACTCTCACATCAATTCTCTCAAACTCTCTAATAATCTAAAAAGGGTTTGCAACAAAGACACAAGTAAATGAAGTCTGTAAGGACAAAGCACATAGATGTGTATGTATGTTGATATATGTAATATATGTAATATATGTAATATATGTAATATATCGACATCTGTGCACACGTGCTTTTCATTTGTTTCTTAGCACCTTCACTCAAAATTTCATGTTTTCTTTATTCATAGTGAAAAGGAATTGCTAAACTTTGTGATACTTTAAGACCTACTAATTAAGTACCTGTCTGCTGACATGGCCAATCTTTGGCTATGTTAGTAAAACCATTCATTTTACACATGCATGCATTGCTGTTTATTATTAAAGTTCTGTTTCTGTTTTCATAATATGAAAAATCATGTCTCTTCAAGTGAGACTCTGTAGGCCTGGGAAACCTTCATTTGCCTTGAGTGATATGATACAGTCTCTCATTGGCACACGCAGTTTTTTTCTTGCAGAGGTTTTCCCTCACATAATGCACCAGATGGACGGATTCTTGGTTGAAATGGCCGCTTATGGAAAGAGTTGCATCTGTGGAACCCATAATCTCATTTGTCTCCAAAGCTGGAACTGAAACAAAACTAGGGCTGAACCAAGTCACGCCACATTCCTGAATTTCAGTTGGTTAAAATGCTATGACTGAATGCTACTCCTGGCTCCTTGATGGCAGGTGGGTCTCTGCAAAAAGCATTTTCAGAGGTGATTGCTAATTGCTACAATTTCTGCTTATTGATAATCCAGAATCTTGGTAATCTCATATTTGTTTTACAGATGGGATAAGCAGCCCCATTTAGAACTTGAAGTTAGTGAAATCAGTAATCTGAACACAGAAAGTATAATAAAAGACTAAACAGTCTGGTCCTACAGGTTGTGACTTATCTCTTCACCTCATTTTCCTCTCCCTAAACTAGGAACATCATCATTTTATGACCTCAGACTAATGTGTGAAGATAAACTAATGTTGATGATGCACTCCTATATCAAATGCAGAAGATACTAAAAAAAAAGATAAATGATAATGATTCCTTCTTTTATAGCTTAAGTAGTATGGGAGAAATAAATCTCGTGGCTAACAACTAAAACTGATGGTAAGATATTTACTACCTTTGTGTTGAGTGAGTATCATTCTGTGCCCAGATTAAAACAGGAGGCATGTGGAAAGAAAATATACAACTAAAATGTCATAATGCGTGCATACAAGGGTCCCACATTTTACAGTACTCATTTTGGAGTACCTGACCATGCAACCTCCAGATTTTTTGTTTTATTTTCACCTGAAGTATGCACATACCAATATTCTACCTGTTCCTAGTTTTAAAGATATTTTTAACAACAGCCTTCTAAAAACAACTCTTGATTTACATACTGCTGGCTAGATTAATTTCCATAGAACATCAGAAATAATGCCCTTACCGTTCTTATTGATCTCACAGCTACAATATCCAAGAAGGTTACTGCTCCAAAATCAAGAATGAGGCTGTGGATGGGCACCTTGGGGATGTTTACTTTGACTGGCAGTTCTGAATTCCAGTCTACTTGGATCTCCACTTCTTTGGTGGGAACTTTAAGATCTTCGTTGTCTTCAGGCTCCTCATCAGTCTCAAAAGCTTCATTACTAATGCCAGGCTCACTGATGATGCCGTTCTAATGTGCAGATAATATGTGAAATATATAATTTAATCACAGAAAAAGGTTTGAGCTTACAGGAAATACTTTTTGTGTGATAACTTCTGCTTCAGGAATGAATGAGAACAATATTGTATCCAAGAATTTAAAAACAAGATAGAGTGAATGAACTACCTTTTCCTCTGTGCAGTATATTTCCTTTCCTCGTTTTTACTGTGCTAACAGAGCATCTTCCTGCAAAAAGGCCACTATCAATAATAATAATAGAAAATCTTGGAGCTACTCCCTTCCTCAAAAGTTCTATTTTAATGAAACATTTAAAGACTGGTATACTGAATTCGAACCCAACTTTGAATTAGAATTACCACATATGCTAACACGGCAAAATGACTTGGTCAAAAGTTGGGATGTCACATAACAGAGCATTTAACTTCCGTCATGAAGTGGAATACATACAGAAATATTGCATTGTGAACTGAGAGCACTGGCAGCAGAATACTCATTCTGAACTTTTACCTCTGGAGATTTAGAAGGTTATCTGTACCTTTTCACTCCTGCAAGCATTTACCTACAGCAGTGTATATTCAGAGGAGGAGCTGGAAGATTATGTCTACAAGTCACTTTATCTGTGCACAAGAAGCTAGATAATAACACCATGTACAAACAGAAGTGCCAGTGCTTTTTCTGCACAGAGATAATCTGAGGTGGGGAGGGGTGGAGGTAAGATCAGGGAATCTGTCACTTCCTCTGCCGTTAACACTATGACTGTCACAGCTGCCTCCATCTTGTGGTCTGGCAATATGTGTAGTGCTCTGCTAGATGCCCTGCAGGTCCCAGTCTTTCTGCTGAAGTGATCAGTCTTCCTTCATCTCTATTTTAAAGATGAGTACAGAAGAGCTCTCAAATAATAAGCTCTAGAAGTAATCCCTTGCAAAAGAGTAGGAGGAAAAAAATAATTTTACCTTAGTAGCTTTTAACTTCCCTTTCTTGATCAGTTTTTGTATCTTCCTCAGTGCTTTGAGTCTCTTATTGTACACCCTGACTGCATCAAATCCCACCTACAGAAGAAGGATCAAAACATCAAAATGATTTAATTTCACCTAGATATAACTCTAAGGAAAACCCAAAGCAGTTAGGTAGCTCCCAAAACCATCACATATCACTTACTGTGGATTTGAGGCTTCTTTTCAGTCCATCGATGTTAGCATAAAAAATTGGACTTGAAAACTTGAGGATCTTCACACCCTCTGGTTCTACAGCCTATTGCCAAAGAATGCAAGATCAAGCAGCAAAAACTACATTGTGGCTACTAAGAAGCAGTTCAACTGTTTCAACAGTTAATTACACAGGTAATTCACACACACAAAAAATGGGATCCCTTTGCTGATTCCATTTTTAGATGCTTATAGCCCTGCATGCAATATGGACCAACCATCTTGAGCAAGATGAAGAATGTAATGCTGAAAATTATTATCATCAAGCACTCCACTTTCAAATTCAACTTGTCAGTAACTGGCAAGGCACAACTCTGTACTACACTTGTAGATCGAAAGGAAGCAACTCAGCATTACTTACACTTTTGTAGTTCTTGACCTTCTTGTAGATGTCTGTGCCAGGAATGTTCCCAAAGCCACCCCATGAAGGACTAACAGAAACAAAAAGATGGTGACAGTAAACATCATTCTTAGCCATTCAGCAGACTGAAGTGATTGCTTCACAAACTGTCACAGACACTTGTATTCTGCCTTCTTCTACCAAAATAATAGCTTCCTTTGGAAAGTCTTGTATCTTGGTTTTGTATCACTGTACTTTTCTCAGTTATACGGAAGTGTTATTTCTAAAGACATGGTACTTTCATCTCAGACATTTTTATGTAGATCTGGATGAACAGTTTGTTTCAATTGTTTCCCAAACTAGGAAGATGTATTAAAAGCACCTTATTTTTGTTTGAACGAGAAAAAAAAAAAAGAAAAAAAAAAAGACTGAAAACATGAGTTACTTTTTACTCAATGAAAACATTTACGTCATCTTCAGATTACTTAAAGCTTGTTGTCCAGTGCTTTTTCTTTGGATTTGCAAACCAAAACAGTTTGCAGCCTCCAACTAAATTTTTTAAAATTGTAGCAAATTTTAAGTTAGTGGATTTTATAACCTACCACTCTGTAGCCACTTTTGGAAGGCTCTACTTTTATGCAGTTGCTGACAGAGCAACTATACTTTGGTACTGCTGTCAATCATACTTTCTGAACTCCAGGCTGAAGGAAAGCAGGTATGTGGTATTTTCAGAAAAAAAAAACAAAGATCAAGAAAATGTAACGAGATGGTCAAATGAGATTCTGCAAAGCCAACGTTTTTCATCATTCCACTTCCACATGTTCTTAGAGCAACCACAAACGCAGTGTAATTTTTAAATGACAGCACACAAATATTGTTTTGTTCTGAAGATTTCCACTTAAAAATCTTGGTAAGCCCAAGAAGATTTTCTGCCACAAATCCCCTTCCTTTTCAGCACAGTCTTTCTTTTTCATGGTATAACACTAACGATTATTTCTGATCCTGTGTTACTTACAACTGAACTCTCAGCACAATTGTCAGCAATCCAAACAAAAGGCCAGCAAGTAATCCCAAATCAAGTCCCAGAATGATGGATGCTACACATGTAAAAACCCAGATCATCTGGAGAGGAAATAATAAAGTCTATTAATTATGACACAGTGTTCCTGGTCACTTTAAAGATTCACTACACCGGACAGTAAGAGTAGCAGAAGAATTTAACCTTGAAAATCATCAAAGCATGCTGGCAATCAGCTGACTTGCTCAGAAAAGTCTTCATCTTCCTCCAAGATACTTATTTCCATCACTATCTTATTAGACATGGTTAGCTTTTAGGAAATTACTTTTAACATACAGACGTTTTTCAAATATTTAGTTAACTCAGTGAAATTAAAGGGGATACCATGAACCATTGCATTTTCTTCTTTCTGATGGCAGCTGTTTTTACTAACCTCACTTTTAAAAATCAGAGATTAGGTGTATAGAGAGGAAAGGGGGCTCCTCAGTGAAGTCCAGGAATCAGAACTGTTCCAAGGAGAGTTATTTCATGCTAGCAGGTTGATAGCACTCTCTAAAGTCTCCAGTGAATATTCGGGCAGAACAGTTGAAGTGCACTCCTCAGTTACTCCCTGCATCACTGCCCAGGCAGAACGTGCAATGGACCTAATCCCACCCAAAGCTGAGTGCACACACTTCTTACTCAAGGAAGTGGGATCTTTTACTTACCAAGAGGACTTAAATAACTGACCAAATAAATTCAGATTTACCTAAAGCAGGTAGTGCCCAAAGACACCCGGCGGTAAAATCTGACTGTAGTAGGGACTGAATACACAAAATACTTTTCATGCAATCCTTCCTTGGGATCCACATTGAGGGGCTGTTTCACAGAAATCCCAGTGGAAGATGTCAGCATGTACTCTGAGGTAAGGTTTGTAAGAAGACTCTGTTCATATATCCCTTTGTACACCAAATGAATCCACTTTCTAGCTTGGATTCTAGGTTGGATTTTCTTGCTACAGCAAAAAAACATATTTTGTAAGGACCATCTGAGGTTATCCAGGCAAGTGGGATACTAATATAGTAACAAATTAAACATATATGCATGAATGAATAAAATGTCATCTTTTCTGGCCCATTTAAACTGTACAGAGGATCAAAGCAGAATGCTAAAGGTGGCCACCAACCATTCTTATTCTAATTTTCAAGTCCTCTAAACACAAGATTGCAGTAAACTATGGTAATCGCTATGAAGGACTTATCAGTGCACAGGCTTTCTTACTGTGGGGTATAGGAAACAAAAAGGATAAAGATAAAAATGTGTAAAACTCTAAAATGGGGATTTTTCACCTGATCTCACGGCATGTATGTTTTGAGGTCACATACAATACTGGTTTGCATTAGCAAATCTAAAGTTTCCTGACGCTAATGCTATAAAATGCTGTTGATGTAGTAGTTAGGAGAATCTTAGGTGACACTAAAAGGCGAAAGAAAAAGATATAAGAACGTTAGGGGGAAAAGAAAAAATTAGCTGACTTACAGCATCTACTTTATTCTGTTTCCACAGGCGGGGAACATCAAACACTTGCATGAACATCCCTTTCAAGTTAGCTATGACTACAGCTGCCAGCACAGACTATGAAGAAAAATGGTAAAAATGTGTTATTCAGAAGCAAAGATGCTTATTAAGATATTTTAATCTTCTTTCAGTTTTCTGTTTACAAAGTGTTCATCATTCTGCACTGCAAACCTGAACCTCCTCTGTAATCAATCAGCACAACATCTAACAGGGCTGTTATCCTGTCCATTGAAGCTAAGCGTTCGGATCTGATCAGCGCTGGTGGCTATGCTGCAGAGAACAAATACAGTACCTTTTGTAAGGGCTCCAGCAATTTCCCCAGGGCAACAATGGCAATCAAAACAATTCCAGCTGAGATTATACCAGCAACCTGTGGAGGACAGAGTGTTTATAGGAGATGAGCACATTAAGATCGTATTTTATGTTTCCAGGATTACAGAGTACTTGTTCCTAGGGCACACAAGTAGTTGGACATTACATTTCTTTAGGAACAAGGAGACCTGCCAAAATGCTACTGTGTTTAGGCATACATGGGCAATCATTACACAGTTCAGCTAACACAGAGGGAATTCAATTAAGCAGGTAGCGCAAACAGCTGCACACAAGGTAGTAGCTCTTGAGGGGGTTGAGTTGCACAGAGAGATTAAAGGAGCAGAGTCTGCGTGTCAGCTGGAAGCGGGGCTGTTGGATATCCTGCATTTCTCCACTGCTAAATAAGTGTGAGGGCTCTGTCGAACAGAGGAGGAGCATGCAGAATATCAGAAAGACGGCATGTGGGCAGATACAGCAGGGCTGCTCAGGCAAACATACAGGGGCTTAAGTATTTCACAGGCATCTGGGAGAGGACTTCCTCATGCTGAATTCCAGATGGGACAAACTCAGCGCCTTAACTGGTAATGAAATTCTGGGGCATTACGCTTGAAGGATTTTGGACCCCTAATGTCAATCTTCCTATGTAAAACTTGATTGCCCTCTTCTGGCAGAGCTACCAAAAATGATGCAGGACCAGAGCACGATCTGCTAGCTGAGATACCTGGGGCATTTTACGTGCCAGCGATGCAACCATTTTAGGATTATTTTCATCCCCATGCAATATTAAACTCACCTGGGCACAGTACTAGTAAGAAGAAGTCATTACCTGAGTCTTTCCACCAGTACTTTCTTGGACTGCAGTCCGTGAAAGAGCAGTAGTTGCAACAAAACAAGAAAAGGCACCAGAAAAAATGTTGCTGATCCCAAAGGCAATAAACTCCTGAAACGTAATTAGGTGATACTGTAAATAATGATTCCTGAAGCTGCTTTTGCAATGGAGAATGACAGTAGTTTTTGGAATAAAGTGGGTAGCACTGAAATATTGAGAAGAGTCTAGATCAGTGTCTGCCGTTAAACGCTGACACAAATTTCTCTTCTGCCAGTGTAACCACATGTGCTTAGAAACCAACACAAGACATCAGTATACTCCCCTTCATATGGGCATAGCTTAGAATAAAGGCTTTTACAGCTTATTTCCAACAATGCTAGCAAAAGTAACATTGCTAACAACTACTTTAGCATAATCACATCAACAAAAAGGACTAGTATAAATTTAACTCTGAAGTATCACATTCTACACAAGTGATTTTAATCAGTGCAACAGTCTGAGTTTAGACAAGCCTTTAATTAACACAAAACATTGTATTATTAGTGGAACTAATCAGGAGCTTAAAAAAAAAAAATAAAAAATCCACAACACAGTTTCACTGAAAACTTCTAGTTGAGCCAGAAGTTTTTCCTTCTGAACATCCCAAAGAACTCATGCTGAGTCCCAGGCAGCGTTCTCATAAGTTTGCCCCAGGGTCACAGATGCTGGCACCTACCAATGCTGGTTGTTCTGCTCAAGTGACAAGGACCCTGGGAGCTTTATGTCCTGGGATCCGGGCCATTCCTCTGCTGGGAAATGAGGCACTTGGGAGCTGCCTGCAATCTCATGTAATTGACAGAAATGCTGTTTCCACCAAGCTGAGAGAATCACAGGAGCCTTCCACTCACAACAAATGTTTAAAAATATAATTTAAGATTTGATTTTGACTCTCTCCCTATTTTTCTCTAAAATAAAGCTTTCCGTAAGCTCTAATTATAAGAGCAGGATTATAAAGTCGCATTCTTTGACGGAACAGACTGAGATGATGCATACCTACTCCTGTGTAACAGCTGTGTTCTCCATGAAAATGCTAGAAATACAGTTCCCACCACTTGCAGATCTTAACAATCTTTGAATCCATTGAGACAAAATAAACACTGGCACATAGTAGTACCAGACTGTCCTTCAATATGATTTTACTACCTGCTTTTATGATGCTATTTTAACTTATCCAGTTCACATAAGCTATTTGTCCATCATTCACAGCTAAGCCTAGCCGTTTGTATCTGAAAAATTCATAGCTTTTGGGTTTGGTTTTTTTTCAGCTATTCAAGAATTTCTGCCATCAGACTATAAATTTCTTGGAAAAATACTTCTTTGGCACTTAAGTTACTGTGAACCTTGCATTGCCCACATTCACAAACCAGTTTGGTTGTACGTACCTGGTTTCCATTAATGGCATAGTCATACTTGGTTGCATATACTTTCCCCACAGAAACCGCAATAGCATAAGCAACAATAGCAATAGAAAAGGAGGATGCTATCATCTGGGAAAACATGCTGACATCTGGAGCTTCAGGAGGCAAAAATCTAGCATTTAGAAAACACGTTAGTATTATCAACTTTGATCTAATTATGTTCTTAGTAAAGTCTGAGGTAGAGGCATGCAGGTTGCTTATAATATGAAGTGTAGTGTTTCAAGTTAATAAACAGGTGGAAACAGCCCACTGACATACAGAACACGCTTATCTAGTTCATCATAGCCAAAATCCTGATTCTTTTTCTCAGCAACAAAGCTCCCATTGTTCTCAGCATGAGAACATGATAGCAAAGTGAAAAAGTACATTTCTGAAGAATGGAATAAAGGAAATACTGAACGATATGATGAATTACATAAATATGTTAATGACACTTCATATTGTTGTTAACATACTTCAATGGAAGACCTCAAAAACATTTTATCCCCTACTGCGTTTCCACAAATTTTAATTAATCAAGGCCTGAATACCAAATGGAATGTGAAGGTTACTACTGTGAAATGCTCTGAATCTTTCAAGTGAAAGTCTCTACCAGTGTAATCCTCAGTATACTTGCTCCTATGACTATGTAAGTGACAATATTGATTGGGATAACAGCATGAATATGAACTGCAGTGGACTAACTCAGGTTTATTAGCAATTTAATCTACAGAGAAATAGAATTTCATTATTTAAAATCCTTTAAATTATTTGTTCTGTTTTCAATACACCTATATTCACTTCAGGAACACAAAACAACTAATTCTTAGACGAACCTCGTGAATCAGGTGAACATTTCTAAGCCTATTTTACAGAGGAAGAAGAAGTAGGCAGCATAATTAGGTGACATGAATGACAGGGCCAGAATTAAAACTCAGGACATCTCCAGAAGCTGTCCCAGGAATCTGACTTCCAAATTCAGATTACAGCTTTCAGTATCTCTTTTATATCTTCTATCTTATCACTGTCATTGTTAGCCAATTAAAATAATACCTATGTCCCAAAAAACAAAGGCACTCACCCTCTTGGAATGTTCTTAACAATGCCTGCATTATATTTTTTTTCCAAGTCAGCAGCATATGAAATGCCAGTGGCTACTATTGTCTGTAATCAAACAAAACGAGTTTTAATACTTGAAAAGGTCTTGTTCTTCTGTAGCCAGTCCCACCTATTTCAGCTACTGTCAGTTTGGTTTTTTTTAGTGCTCCTTTGCTTACCACAATAACTTCTATTGGTATCGGTATAGGAATCTTGTGTTTGAATCGGTCGTTTATTTCTTTAACTACCATGCAGACAAAAATGGTGAGCAGTCCAGCAATAAGATCTGCAACGTTGGTGGTACCAATGTTTTCAAACGTTTCAACGAGAGTCTGAAAAATAAAAGTTACAACATGTGCACTTGAAATATGTGAAAACACACCAACACTCACAGGGCAGCCCAGGCAGATGGGGTTTTGGAGGAGGTCAAATGTTGCCTGCTCCTTTGCTCAAGCCTGGAGGAGTTTGAGGATGACTTTGTCTGATGAACTATCAAACTGCTACACAATTAGTGGCTGGATGTTGTGGTGTTTTTAACAGAAAAACTGTAAACTGGGCTTCTGCTTCCTGTTCTTTAGAAAACTAAGGCTTAATAGCAAAAGCTAAACCCTACCTGTGTTTTACCTCTATCTTAGAGGAAAGATAGGAAGATCTGTAATTTCCTCCCTTTACAAAAAGCAAAAGATCCTCTTTATTCAAATGAGAGCAAAACTCTAATTGCTGAAATGCCCAGTGCATAGGGCGTGCATTACAAATTCCCAGTCTTCATTACTGACACCCAGGCAATGAGCACGGCAGCGTGGATCCCACCCGGCTGCGGCAAGTCCTGCATTTGAGAAAAGTGGTTGCAAAGCCTCACCTTGTGGTGTGTTAACCCTGTTCCCAACAGAAGTCAGCTTCAGGCTGGAGCACTCGCAGCTGCAGAACGACAGGCAGCTCCCTCATCTACCCTTCCTATGTCCTTGCTTGGTCCCATTGTTTATAGCAAACAGCAGTCTGCGAAGCTGACATTTATGGCTGTACAGTGTTTATACAAACACGAAAAAAAGTATTACTTCTAAGTGTACAGAGAAAACAGGAAGGGCTGATCAGAGAAAACACACCAATTGGAGGTTCTCCCATCTATCTCCTCTCTGCTCCTAGGAGGTGATTCTCACTCGGCACTTACTTCCAAGAAAATCTGACTATTCTATGCACAGTGAAGAACAATCTGGTGGAAAAAAGGTTCCAAATAGACTTCTTGCCTCCTGGCAAAGGGAGGACTGCAGCTGCGGTACCACTTCCATCACAATAAAAACTCCTTGGTTTGAAATAAAACACTGAAGTGCATAAGTAGCTATGTTTTCTAAGCTAAAGGAGAACCCTTCCTGAAGCAATGAATCAGATGTCTCTTTTTTTGAGAGGCACTTCTTGCCTGTTGTAGTGCTTACCACTAATCCCATTCTTATTACATGTCTGCCTCTGCCATATTTTACAGGGAAACAAGGGGCTCCTAGCTGGAGGTTATGAATTCTGCCAATGTCAGATGCTCAGTGCTGCAATTTGTTACACACCACTGCTGAGGCAGGTCCAAGACTTGTTGAAGCTGACATAACAAGTCTCTGGTTAAGCAGACCAGAAATCACGATTTATTTGCTCTGCACACATCTGCAAACACTTCCACCCAGCTCACCTACCGGAATGCAGAAGCCCCGAGCTTCAGCATAAAAAGTCAGCACTCCATACAGGCTTGCAGGAAGTGCAAGAGCCATGTAATTCTTTTTCAAAAGCACTTTCTACTAGATGCACCAACCTTCAACAACCATTAAACAAAAAACAACAACAAACAGAGAGAAAAACTTGCTGGATCAATTGTCCATCATTGTGTGTGTTGTGCTGTGTCTTATCTAATTTTCTATTGCTTGAGGGAAGAGTTTTCAATGGTTAAAGGGCCCATAAAATAATATCGTTTTTTTCCAAGTACTCCACCAGATTTTTTTTTCTAAATATTTTTCTTGTTATTTGCAATCACATTCAGACTACTTTTACCAATATAGATATCTAACACACTTTTTCTTGCCTGGTTTGTCTGAACAGAAATATAAAATCTGCCAGTAACTTCTCTGTTCTACAGCAGTCTCTTTTAGAAATCTGTTATTCTAATGCAAAGAGCTATGGAAGATCTAAAATACTGTGCACCTGAACAGCTTAACGGCAACGTCAGTGAAAGAACTCTCAATAATTTCCCTGGGGAAGGAGATGACTCTGTAATACGAGAACCTCTAGGAGTTCAGTATTCCTGTAACACGGCCAAAACGTTTCTCCATTTGATCATTTCCTCTAAGATTAACAAATGGAGTTGCGACAAGTTTTAGCCTCACCTTAGCTAACCAGCAGGTACCTGGCCACGGGGTGCAAATCCACATCCTTCTGTAGATAGTCACAGATATGGCTACAACATGAAATGGAAAAAGATGCCTTTGACCAGGATGGTTTAAGAGGCTGGGGACTAGTCAGCTTTGGGAGCTTCCCATTAAGACAAGAGGCATGGGCTGGGAGGGAAACAGCCTCCAGAAGTGATAACGCAGAGAAGAAAAACTGTTTTGCTGCATAATTATTTTTAAATTTTATGTGAAAAAGAATGCTCTGCCCGAAATAGACTATGTCATGACAATTAGCCTGTTATGATCTGGGAAAGTAAGACAACGGCTCTTGAGAGCCACACAGCTATAAATGAACACCTGCAGATCTTCCTGAGAGTGAGTGAGAACTAAATGAATGCCCCACAGTTACACAGATACAAGAAGCACTCCTGTATGAAATGGAAGCAGAAGATAAATAATTATGCAAAAATTCTGGCACAAACCCAAAACAAATTATAAGGGTATACTTACATATATTATGGAAAGGACACCATTATAGTTTTTAGTTGAAACATTTAAGACTATTTTCAACTGTGATACGAACACTTGAAAAGCAGCTGCAGTTGTGAATCCCCCAACTAGTGGATCTCCGAGGTACCTCACAATGAAACCAATCTGAAAAACTCCAAATGCCACCTGGAAAAATCATGAAGAGTAACAGCTTGCTAAGCAGTACGATCTAAACTATTATTTGGCAATATCTTAAGTTTCACTCTTTTATTTTTGTTGAGGTAGTCTTAAGAGCATCTTCCCCCACTGAAGATTAATGTAGCTTAACATCGTGCCATCCAGGGAAAGAAAGGACACCTGAAGAGCTGTGTGAAAGGACGCTCCATTTAGTTTCATGCAGGTCTGTTGGTCTCCAATCACAATGCTATTCTGCTGTTTGTGCTCCCCATCATGCTGCCACCAACTTTGCTCAGGGTAAGAATAAAATCCCAAAAGCTCTCCAGAGTTTGAGAAGTCTTTTCCTCATTTATGTGTTTTACTACAGGAAAAAGACTCGCTGCCATGGCATGTACTTCAGTGGTGTATGTTTTCCCATTAAAATTAAAGCAGTATCAATTTGTGTCCTCAAGACAACTATTTTACCTGTAAAATTCCAACCAGAAATGTGAGGGTGCTGGCAATCAGCACTCTCTGGGCATCTCTGGAGTCAGTGTCTATCAGTATCTCAGTATCATTAGTCCCTGTAGCATTACTGCCATCTATGAGAAAATTGTCATCAGGGGCCATGCTCAATACAACTGATCCCACCATCAAACTGACTACAGGGAATGGACCTGTAATGACAAACAGAACATACTGAAGTTTAATATGCATCAAAAGGAAGCACTTATCAGACTAGACAAGAAAATTCTAAATCAGAAATATAATTTAATATTTTAACTGGGGTACATTACTCCATAGGAGAAAGAGGAGGAAGAAAGGGCCAGAATCCACAGCACTGCAAAAACGACACAGAGATACAATTCCATCCTGAACAAAACTGTTATACACAGAGGTTCAGTTTCGTGTTTTGCTCATGCCAATTTAGGGGTATAGCAAGGCAAAACAGGGTGGCATATCCTGACCATCTCCCTTGTATCTGCATCAGCAGTTCTGTGGCCCAGCACCACTCACAAGAGAAACTTATCCATCTGAAAACAACGTTTTGATTCACTCTTTTTTCAGACACAGATAGGTTCAGCTGAATGAATGCACTGGTGCAGATTGCCACATGGCTGCATGGTCAGGAATCCAGCACAACAGTGGTGGCAGGAAAAGACACTGGGGGAAAAGATTGCCCTTTTTGGCAGTAGTTTGGTATTACATCGGCTTAAGATGACTGAAACTATACTTCGGGCAAGATACAGAGATAGTAAATGATCATCATGTCAGCAAAACACAATCTAAAAGCAATCAGATTTGCTGTAGTTTTTACTAAAATTATACAGAAAAGGAAAACATCATAAAATGTCTTAAAGAAGGATAAGTTAATTTTACAGATAAAGAAAAGTACACTTGACAAGTAAGCATACTGGAGAAAGTATAAAAACGAGTGGAAAACGTAGGAAGTAGAGATGTCAACATAAGTAGAGAAAAGAGTTCAGAGCTGGAGAGCAGAGGTGATCTGGTGGGTGGAAGACAGAAAGTAGAGACAACATGCAGATGTATTTGATTCCACAAAGAAAGTTAATGAGAAACCATAATATCGTGCCAAAGCTTTGTGAGAGAAAAACAATCCAGCATTGGTGGATGTGAATGAGGTAAGGCTCTATTTGTTAGAGGGGAGAAAAAGACAATTCGGTGATCAAGCTGTAACATATTTTAAAAATGAGAACTGACAGAGAAAAAGTATTTTAGAGAAAGTATTCAGAAGGAATCAATGAGGTTTACCCATAGCCTTGATGTGAGGACCTAGAGCGAGGCTGGAGTAGAAACACAGGTTCTGGGTCTCCGCGACAGGCAAGAAGGTGATACTGTCCACAGTGATCAAAAAGGATGTAGCAAGGAAGGCTTGTGGAGAAGACTAAGAGATCTGTTTTAGCCATCTTGAGCTTTAGCTGATAGACTAAATGTCTCTTCTTACTGCCCAATGAGGCAGACTTTATCCTGTAATTTCTGGCATAGTGTAGCCAAAGACAAGATTTAAACTTCAGCATAAATGCAAGCAAAAGGCATGCGTTGGCACAACTGAAGTTAGCTGTCTGTACAGAGAAGAAATAAGTCTTAAGTCCCCCAAGCCCACCAATAATAATATTCAGCACAACCAATATGGTTTAGAAAGTATCTGTCTTATATGAAATAGTAATATTCACAGTAAGAATTAACATCTTGTAGTAGTTAATTTACTGTAACTTGAACATATGCGGTTACCAACTGATATGTGTCTTGATGTTCCCAGGAAAAAGTATGTCAGGATGGGGAAAAAGGCAGAATAGAGGCCATATCCAACAGGAACTGCCACCAGTAAAGCATATGCCAAACCTGAAATGATACGTGAACAAAATACCGCACTTAAAATCACTCAGCAAACTACTATCTTGTCTAGAATGGACTTTCAGGAGGATTTGTTCCGTTTATCCAGGGACAAATTAGAATGTTTTTTGATCTGTAAATCAGTTGCAGATACACACGTAAGTACCAGTGACTGTAAATGACTGTACATCCCACATTAGTACTTAGATGAGTTACTACTGAAAGATGTGCCTATATCTGCGTAAGTGGCATAAAGCATTGTCTCAAATGTGAAGTTCAAGCAGTCTGCCTTTGAGAAACAAGTGAGAAACTGAAATGCTCAATTTATAGATAGAATTTTCAAGCATACTCTCTAAATTATTGTACTATACCAATAATGATTCAGAACACTCACCCATCTGAAAATCAGGCCTTTGTCTTTTTGTCAGGTATCAGTTCATGAACTTAATAACCAAAAATAAATCACCCAAATTTAAGAGATTTGATCCTCTGATCTTCTCACTTAGTAAACTCAAGCAACTTGCCAACTTCAACACAGCAAGAGAAGAAAAGGAGGATGTTATCAGTATCAGGTCCTTTAGCTCCTATTGCAGACTGTAATATTCTGCATTGATAACACAAAACTATGGCAGAGCTCAAAAAGGCTGAAGACCTGGTTGTGCTGCTAGGCGGGTGGGAGGTCTTCAAGTGACATTTAAAACTGCTGGAAGTTAGGGATTTGGGGCATTTTAGGATCCCAAAAGACTTTTTTTTTTTTTTTTTTTTTTTTTGCAACCATTTTGGTCAGTTTTCCCAGTATCTGATGATTTGGTATTTCAGAATTATAACATTTATATTTTTAAATCACAGAGTTCGTACCACTTCTCGTCTGCCTTTCTAGCATGCTCCAAGGCAAGAGGCAGTAAGGAATACTTGCATTTGGCAAGGAAGCAAAGTACTTTTTCTTTATTTCAGTGTAGTCTCTCCAATCTTTGCCTACTTGTGTAAGCACCCAATTTCCACTGAGGGAAAATGTGAGATCAACACAGTTTACTTCACCTGCCCCAGTCCTGAAGAATTGTCAGCAACACTGAGTTGAAAGAAATGAATGTGCTGGCTGACAGCAGGGTTACAGCTAGACCTGCTTATGAGAAGGGCACCACGTTAAGCCCAACTTTACTAGCATAGTTTCACAAATTACTGCTTATTTCTGCCTCTTTTCTACTTGTCCATCTGCTGAGTGCTTCTCTTGTAAACCATGTACTGTAAATATCCATCAAGTTTATCACTTCTTAAATGTGAATACAGCACCACGTACCTCAGTGAGGACTGTTTTCTTGCAGACACCCAAACAATCCTGTGAGTAACATTTCAAAGGAAAGCACACGTCAAGACTGCACTATTTGGGGGGCATAATTCGGTTTTCATAGGCAGCTGCAGAAGAACTACAGGCTCATGACCTAACTGATCCATCACAACATAATTAAAATTACCAAAATATTTGAAAAAATGTTCTTTGAGTAAAAAGATGGGGTAAAAGAAGTTAATTACATCTTGATGGCATATCAAAGGAAGTTCAGATCTTCTAGCCAGGCAGAGAAAAAAGGGCTAAATCAAAAGCTTTAATTATTTATTGATAATACCTAATATCTAGTATTAAATAACAAGTCTCAGATTTGTAATTCCATCTGCGTAACATCAGAGAGCCGTGCGTGAGGGCGTACCTTGCAGGGTGGCAACGAGGCCAGTGCTGACCCCTGAGATGATGTCATTGACCAACCACTCCTTCAACCGGTAGTTGGGAAGCCACTCCAGGATGGGCAGGAAGGACTTGGTGATCCTGAAGGCCTTTTTTCTTGAACAGCTGTGAGAAAACAAGTTATGCACAGACTGCACGGAGCTGCAGTCTGAAAGGAACCAAAGAAGAATGACAGAAAGACACCCTGACAGAAAGCATCCAAGAAAGTTCATAGAGTCATAGGGTCATTTGAGTTGGAAGGGATCCTTAAAGGTCATCTGGTCCAACTCCTGTGCAGTGAACAGGGACACCTACAGCTCGATCAGGTGCTCAGAGCTCTGTCAGAACCCAGAGCCTGACACTGAATATCTCCAAGGACTGGGCATCTGCTACCTCTCTGGGCAGCCTGTTCCAGTGCCTCACCAACTCACTGTAAAAAAATTTTGTATGCAGCCTAAATCTCCCCTCTTTTAGTTTGAAACCATTTCCCCCTGTCTACCACCACAGACCTTGCTACAGAGTCTGTCCCCTTCTTTCCTATATCCCCCATTAGATACTAAAAGGCTGCTCTCAGGTCACCTCACAGCCTTCTCTTCTGCAGGCTGAGCAGCCCCAGCTCTCCGCCCGTCCTCACAGGGTGGTGTTCCATCCCTTGGACCATTTCTGTGGTCCTCAAGTTCTGACAGAAAGCAACCAATAAATCTTTGGCATAAAACGACCCAGAAAGTCCTGACACAAAGTAGCTGCAGAAGCTGTGACAGAAAACAACCAAGAAAGTTTTTCCGAGAAAAAACAACCAAGAAAGCCCTCAGAGAAACCGACAGGAAGAAAAACAAACAAGAGGGGCTATACATGCTTTACTATACATGCTTCAGGAGCCAGAGGTGGTTTCTTCCAGGACGAGGCACCTGTCGGTGCCCCAAACTCCTTGGGAAGCGCCGCGTGCGGCTGTGCCCACGCGCTTCGGTGCGGAGAAGCTGAGCCGCGCAGTCGGACGCCGGCAGCACCGCGCCGCCCCTGCGGTCCCCCTAGAGGCTCCCACAGCTCCCGGACCCGCGGAGGAGCGCGGCCGCCGCCCGCCCACACCCACCTGCAGACCGCCCGCGCCCGCTCAAGGAGCGTGGGAGGCGGCGGCGGCGGCAGCCGCTCGTTCTCCTCCTGGAAGCCCGCCTCGCTGTAGATGGGCCGCGCCACCACGTAGTGGCTGAGCTCCGCCAGCGGCTCATCCGCCCGCACGCCCGCTGCCATGGCCCCGCCTGAGGTGGCGGACGAGCGGATCCCGCTCCCGCTCCCGCTCCGGCACCCCCTGGTGGCACGGCTCTGCACGCGGCCCGGCCAGGCCCCGCGGTGCGGCGCTGTCCGCGTCCTGAAGCGACGAGGCCCCACCGCCGCCTCCACATGCGGCATTTATACTGCCGGGAGCGTTTATTTATGGGGAGACACGGACTGCCGGCTCCGGGCCGAGCCGGGTGACGCCTCCGTCCGCCCCCGGGCTTTGCCCTGCCCCGGGCCGGCGCTCCCCGGAGCGGCCCTCCCAGCCCCACGGCCCCTCTGTCCCGAGGCTGCATTTCAAAGCGCTCGCCCGGCGGGCTTGCGGCCCCGGGAGCTGCTCTCTGAACGTCACCAGCTGCAGGCAGACGTGGTTCAGAACCCATAGGATCTTCGAGTCACACCTGCAGCCGCAGATGGCTGCGGTTTCTGGTTTGCTCGAGGGGATCGGAGAGAATGAGCTCCTGGGTGGTCCTGCTGTAACTTTGGCTTAGAGATAAGACGGGCTGAAAAAGTCAGACCTGCTAAGCACTGCGAGCTACGCCAGCAGCTGCTCTGTGTTAGGTGTGCAGGACAACCCAATAAACATTTTGCGGTTGTAAAGTGAAGTGTGTGTCCTTGTAGAATCATCACAGAATGGTTTGGATTGGAAGGGACCTTTGAAGCCCCCCAACTCCAACCCCTGCCCTGGGCTGGCTGCCCCCCACCAGCTCAGGCTGCCAAGGGCCCCATCCAACCTGGCCCTGAGCGCCTGCAGGGATGGGGCACCCACAGCTCTATGGGCAGCTGTGCCAGGGCCTCACCATCACGCCAGGAGACAATTCAAATCTAGAATCAGTGAGTTGAATGTGTTTCAACTCACATCAAAGAGGCATTGAGGGCACACACTGAGGGCACTGGATCAAGCAAAATATTTGTTCAATGAGCTACTCAGTTGTGGATATTCTTGACGGCTTTGGTTTTAAAGCACAGGCCTAGCTCCAGGCATGTTGAAGCTGTAAAGAGGTTATTTTCTGAAAGTACATTTTGTAGTGTAACACATGATCTGCAGGTTCAGACTGTGACAGATTTCCCCTACTGCTGTACTGTGAGAAACATCTAGGTGAACTGCTGATACGCTTTGATCTAAGCAGTATTGTAGCAGGCAGCCAAACAGCTTGCTTGCAAAGCAGAGACACAATGTTTTGTAGAAACCCTTAAACACAGCACTGGATCAAGTACAACATTCAGCAGTTTGATTTTAAGGAAAGCCATCTTATGTAAATGCTATCCACTCCTGAACAAGAAAGCTTTCAGATTGGTTTTGCTAGCAGACAGTACTGTGGGAATGGAATTAATACTGGAAAGCAGAATGGATGCCTGATTCAGTTTGATGCATACTTAACTACATATGGAAAATTCAGCTGACTTAAATACTGGGTACTGTACTGAGTTAAGATCCACTCCTGATAAAACCAAGTAGCATGAAAAGTTGTTTTGAAATCTAACTTTGAAAAGCTGTTGTGGTAACATATTCTTAGGTTCTAAACTGAGTACAAAGACAATGACATGATTCCAGCAGATATAATGGCTTCTAGTTTAGTCATTAAATTAAAGGAAAACAGAAACATTTGCAGGAAATCATCATGGATGCCCTATGCTTCACAACACACATTAACTCAATTTTGAGGACTGGATGAGTATTACATATTGGTTTCTCCTAGAACACCTACTGAAATGCAATTATTTTATAATCCACATAACTAGGACTTTCAAAGAGAACCAGATAATAACCCAAATGAAAGCAAACCAAATCAAAATGAACCAAACCAAAGTAAGAGTCATACTGACCATGACAATTAACACTGGGAGACTACAGTATGAATAATCTGATCCAACTGTAACTCATGAACTCATGCTCTTTTCAAATCTACTTTCGCAGCATGTGTCTGGCTGAACTGCACACTGAGATTCAGCATCTCACAGGTATGAGATGGTGTAGGATCAGCAGTTGGTGTACGGATGAGAACTCTGTAGGACTGCATACTGGCAGGACAGACATAAGCACAGTTGAGGAGACTTCAAGAAAAAAATACCACCTGTAACACAATGTACTTACCCGTGTTTGAAAACAAATCGAGGAAGATGATAAGGAATGAAACACCACAGGATGTTCACTTCCTTTTACAACTTCAGAGTGTTTTTCTTCCTCTTTTTTTTTTTTCTTTCCTTAGCTTCAAGTCTAAGCTTTCTAAACCCGTTTGTTCCCCTTTTTATTTGCTACTCTTTCTGAAATAATCTTGTTCATCTCAGTCTAGTGGGAGGTGTTCGTGCCTATAGCAGGGGACTTGGAACTAGATCTTCATAGTCCGTTCTGAGTTCCTTTGACTTGCTGCACCAGGTCTTCTCTGCATGTCTTAAACTCAAAAGGGAACGTGTAGGTTAGTGCCTTGCTGGCCAGTCTGAGTTTCTTCCATAGTCACAGGAACAAGGGTTTGAACTTGAGGCTAAGAGAGACACTGAACACGGTCTCACTTTTCAGGTGAGCAGCTATTAAACTCTCTCCTAAAACATGATAATCACCAAAAGTTCTGCCTCTTCTGGTTTGGCTGAAAACACAAAGAATAAACCCAGTTAGACTAGACAGACAGCCTGATCTCCAGCAGCTGGACAGAGGAAAGGATTTAAACTGCAAACCCAAATCCTGCAGATATTTTTATTACAGCTACAATCAGTGTCCAACTTCCTGATCAGTTTTGAGAGATGCTTGGTATCTCCTCGCCTCCAATAGACATGCTAGCTCTAGTGTCAAACTCCCCCCTAATACCACACATGGCTTAGGCTCCCACTTCCCAAACCTCAGCGTACCCACATGTATTTGGGAATCTGGATACCCCAAACCTGGTTGTGTTGGTGTAGAGTAAGCCCACCTCGGTGTTTTGAAGGGAATCCACTGGCATAGAAAGAACCGTCCTTCAGGATTGCAGCACGTTCCTCTAAGAGGTGGAATAAGAATGTTCTTTTAGGACAGACTTGACAGTGGGGTTTTTCAATGGATCACAACTGTATTTCAGGCTGACGGACACAAAATCAGAGGGACTCTCATTTTCCTCACAACATACTTTGGTTCTATTTGCAAAATTTCTCAAGACAGAAATCAAAGTATCACTTTTTATCACAGAAAACAAAACATTCCATGTTCTGTCTGAATTGGAGATGCTCAGTTCCAGAAATATGTTATTAGGTCTTACTCATTTAACATACGCAGCAATCTTCAGTGCAGAGTACTGCAGGGCTGGAAGGATATGACTGAAAACCTATTTTCCATTGTCATTTACAAAGTAAATTTGGTGTTTAAAGCAACACGTGAGAACTGAGACAGTTGTGTAATACTTCTGTAATAACTTCACATTTGGAAATACAAATGTTATTTTCGGCGCTGACCAAACCAGAGTTGTCACCCTTCAGAACAAGCTCTGAAAGCAGTGTCTCTTCAGTGAGGACATGGAGCTCGTACTTGTTGCAGCAAGTACAGCTAACACAAATACACACTTTCAGGAAAGACTCTATATTCCATGCTTCTAAATAAGTACACGAGCCAATATTTGTTGCAAAAAGATGGAAAAAAGGAAAAATACTGGTTAACTCTGAATGCATTCCTTAAGGGAAAAGCAGAGTTAAGTCTATTAATATTCAGGTCAGTTCTCAGGCACCCACTGTGACCTCACTGCTTTCTTGACTCAGCAGAAAAAAAAAGGAGTTTAGGAAAAAACCCTCATAAACACAGAAGTAGTTTGATTCCATCAGCATTAGCAGAGAACTTTGTTAACTCTTTCCTACAAAACAGGCAACCTTGGACTGAACTGCTTCAAAGTTTGAGAGTTGAAAAAGTACAAGTTTGGTTTACTTCTTCCCAGTACATGACCCATAACTTACAATATTACTGACTAAAAATTTTACTTCAAACTGATCAATCCAAATTCCCACAGGTTCTGAATACGTATGAAACAACGCACAGGCAAACTTCTGAAACGTTTACCTTCTGCTGGAATTCCCAGATATATTATTATTTGAACTTCTTGTTTTATAAAAGAAAAGTATGTTTCAATTGTTTCTTGGAAGCATACAGTTCTACAAAACCAATAATACAAAATAATTCTTGCTGGAATAACAGCAGATTTTTATACAACAAAGCTGGGATGAGTTAGAACTCTGTAAGAGCTGAGCGTGTTATCCAACTTACTCAAACACATACGACCACTCAAGAGAGTGGTATCGTTCTACTAAGAAGAGTGGAATCATTCTACTATTTCCTATCAGGGAAATCTGATAAACCTATGCCAATAATAGTATAGAATAGAAGAAACGACTAAAGACAAAGTGGAAGGTCTGGGGCTTTAATCAATGCCTAATCTTTACTTAGTGGAGTATCTTCTACAGCATGACGTGCAAAGGTTTTGTTCCTTTCCCCCCCCCCAACAGCTGCCTCTTCACTCGCTCATTGAGCAAATCTGTATCTTCCAATTAGGCAGTAGGAAGTGCCAGGCTGAAGTAGATGGCATAATTACAGAGGGTAGTTTGAGTATCATGTGCTGAATGCATGTTTAGAAATACTATGCATGATTTTCAGCTTCCATGAAAGTCATACACACCATTATGCATGTCTCCAAACTCCAGTAATGCCCTACAGCAAGAATGGTGAAGCATCTGATCTTCCTACTCAAGGTAAAGTATTGATAACATCAGTACAAGCACAACCATTTTGTTCCACGTTACTCTAAGATATGTAATTACAGACAAAGAGTACACTTCATGACGTCTTTCATTTTTATTACTAATTACCTACTTATAATAAAGGAAGAAATGCTTGAATTTCAGTGAGTAGGTAACAATAAATAGCAAAACAAGTACTGCTTGCTATTGTTTTCAGTCTAAAAAAAAGCAGGTGATATTTGGGGGTGGATAGTGTTAGCTCTGTTCTTCAAAGCCACACCTGCTTATATATATATATATGCATATATATTATCCTTCTATATAGAGTGTAATACTGTGTGTATACATGGACATACATGTATGTATACAGAGAGTATTTGAAGTATACAAGACTATTTGCTGTAGATCCCAGAAAGAACTGATAGATCCACAAACATTAGTCTTCAATATCCAGAAGCAATTGTCTGGGATGAAGCAGCATCACTTCCCAGGCTTCCAACCACAGTCTTCAGATCAGAATGCAAAATTAGGATAACATTCTCTTAAACATTACAGAACGATTGAAATATATGTATATATTTAAAAAAACCCAAACATTCAATGACACCACCAAAAACTGGGGAAAGGTGAGGTGCTACTTTGAATCTGGAAAGTTCTGAAACAAGCAGATCTGCCATCTCTTACAATCTCTCTGAGTACTTTCTATACTACATCTGCAAGGAGGAACTATTTTTTTTTAAACATCCTTACTCAATATGCTATGATATGCTTTGTAGTAATCAACATGCCATTTTAAAATTCTATTTCCAGAGCAATCCAAATTACCCCTATGAAGAAGGTGGCCTTGTTTCCAGAAGCTCAGTATCACCAAGTTAGAAGTGCATTTTATTCTTTGTGTATGGACATATGTACACAGCTCTGGTAAGACAGCACATTAGGTGAGATTTACATGAATAAACTCACACTCACAAACTTCAGCAATCTCTTTAATATAACAAACATATCCAATTTTGGAATACAAATTGGAACCAGCTAACAAAAAAAACTCAAAATAACTTTCAGAATGCCAAAGAGGGCTTATGCAGAACAGTGCACATTTATTCTGAGGTATTGTATTCATGAAAACAACAACAAAAAAATCAAACCAACACAACTATCCTCCAACATTCTAGAAGAATTCTTAGCAAGGCAAAAGCAGTTAGGTGGCATGTGTTGATTAAGCATGTGTAAACAGTGTAAAAATACAGAATATGAATAGCAACCAATTCAAAACTTCGGTTATGAAAAGTGATGTAACCCCATCAATCAAAGAAAAATAAGCCAGAGTAATGCAAAATATCATTTGTTAAAATATGCTCATCCATGCAGCTAAGTGGAAGTCAGAAGCTAGCAGGATGGATTTAAAAATACCTTCCTTTACTTAGTAACTTTCTTTAGATTGACTGTCATTCAATTTTCCATGGGAAGAGAACGAGTGATGAAAAGCTTCAGTCCACTGGTAAATGTACTTTTGAAGATTCCAATGAGGTGTTACAAATGATGTTTGTTTAAGTGGTTGTTTTTTATCATTCAGCATGACATACAATCCCACTCTAAGGTTACAAGCAAATGGTGCCATGGTGCACTAATTTTTACTGTTTTGGAAGGTGAGAGCTGGGAGATTGGTTGCTCCAGGTGAACTGGAAAGTTTTCATGTTTTTCCTCTCAAGAGCAGCAACAAACTCCAGGGCAAACCTGGTAAGCCACTTAACATTTTATTTCAAACAAATAATATGTTGGCAACCAAGATATACGAGTGGAACCTGGATTGTGACCAGCAGTGCATGTGCTTCTCAGGAAAGTCAAGCTTTGTTTCAGATGCACATCAGGAGCCTAAGCAGCACGAGGCTTTTCACACTGAAACAATTATACCAATGCCATCTGCCTGACGCACACTTACAGGTCTTTCTTGTCTTCTGCTTCACTCGAAGCATTCTGAAAAGAGAATAAAAATCACATTTTACATCTGGGAAGTCAGGATGGCAGATGGACTGTTTTGTACCTTCTTGTAGTTGTATCTGCTTTGTTCACTATGCACCCTTCACAGCTGTAGTCCCATCAACACCATCTCCACATAACATGTGCTTCTGATCCTTAACACATTAGCAGCCAAGTAGCCTGCTTCTCCTCTGATCACGTTATAGTTGAACTGTGCAGCAAACTAAGCAGTAAATGCTTTCTACTAATAACTCTTAGGGATAAATCAGCTGCATCTACTGTGCACTCAGTACTTTCTGCATTTTCTAGTCGGAGGTAAATTCTACACTGTAAGGATGTGCACACCAGGCCATAAAACTGTTAGAAATGCAGCAGAACTCCTACAGCTCATTACACAGGGAAGCACAAAGACAGCACAGAGATGGCGGTCTCAACTTTGGAACGCAAACTGACTGAGTAGTCTCTAAAGAAGGACATGATGAGGCAGGGAAATTAGTAGCAGCTTCACACAATACAGAACTATAATCAGCTCAAATTTGCAATTTGATCGACCAATTTCTTAATACACAGCCAACAAACCAAACCGCTCCTCTTGGAAAGTGGCCACCAGAATTTTAACATCAATGCATTTTCTCTCTAGGCCACAACTGTAAACAGACTAACATTCACATTTATTGATCCATTTCAACCCAAACTAACAGGGTCAGGCCGATGTTCAGCCTGAAGTATACCAACCCCTCACAGACAAAAAGAACAAGCAGGGCTCCCAGTTCTACCTGAAATAATTACTGTGTACGTTGCAGATACTACTGCCATGCACATATGCAAACCTGATCAAACAGCTAATCCAGTTTTAGCTCGCTGAACTTCTTTTTCTATTTTGTACTTCAGTTTGAATTTTTATATTTGCCTGTTCTTAGCCTAGGCGGTTTCAGTTTTTTCCTTCTTGCATTGTAACAGCACTGCAACGTTTATAATCCACTGTTGTGAAAGCATGTTTAAAGAGCAAACAAAATAAAATGACACCTATAAACTATGTATACACCACACACACTACTGCTATCATTTTCTCAGAAGCTTCATTTTGGTCCAAAACTTAGCTCTTAAGAGACATTAAAATACAGCCTATATATGACCTGAAGAGCAAAGAAGAAAATGCTAATAGCTTTGCCAAGCAGTTCTTTCAAGACAAAATTTTACTTTTTTTTTTTTTTTTTTTTTTAAATGAAGTTCAAGGAGTGCTTCCCATTTAAACTTCACGCTCTACTAAAGGTTTTACATAGTAAATAGCTAACAAAAAGAATTTTGCAGCACAATTCAGAATGCTGCTTACACACTGAGCCAGAACCACTCACCTGAAGTCGTCCATATTCTTTCATCAGACGGTCGTACTCTCTTTTAAGGCCTTCAGACTGCTTTTTAACTGCTGCCACTTCATTATTTGCCTTGTGGAGAGCTGTAAAATATCAGGATTTGTGTTTCAATCATTAACTACAATACTGTACTTCGGAGCTCTGTTTGTGTATTAGTGCTCCACCATATTTGATGCCCCTTCCTTGTGAAAGCTGAAATTTAGAATGGAGCATCCCAGGACACAGGAACAGATAAGGAAAGGGAAGGGAAGGAAAATGACTTATATTCACAAATGGCAAAAGAAGGAGCACAGTGGGGCTGTGTGAAAGGTAAGGGCAAAGCCAGTAAACTTTTGAGTGGAATGAGAAATTGATGAGAATGCAGTTTTATGCCACACTGCAGGAGACATTTCCAGAAAAACAAAACACCACAACTCCAAAAGCCGTCTTAAGAGGAAGATGGCATTCAAACACTGTGCAAAATTTTGGCAAAGTAACCAAGGATATCTGTCAAATATGGGGAAAGGAGGTAAAACATTACATTATTACAGGAGCATGGACTCTCATATTTTACCATGCAGGAGTTCATTCATTAGAACCATCACTTTATGGGTGAGAAAGCAGAAATGGGGATGGGGGGAGGGGAGGCAGACAACCACGAAAAGGCTTTTACTATCAGAAATATATATATATATTTACCTACTCCTTATTTCAAAAGAAATAAGCTGAAAGTAATTCTACGCTGCAAGTCTGCTGCAGTACAAAACAGCCCAGGAATCCACAGGGGCTTATTTACAATGGGGGGTAAACCAGCACCAAGTTTCCCAAAGCTGTTACTCCTAAACTGTTAGTGAGCATCCAGTAAGGTCACTTAGACATCATGCTCTTTTGCTATAGGCATCTCATCTGTATGTGGTTTTTTTTTTTTTGCTGGAGCAGCACAGGGATACCCTAATACCAGATTTACTTACATTACAGCAGAGAAACATTGTTAGTGACTGATAAAACTGCCCCACATAGCAGCTCTATCCTCCTTTTACTCATACCACTGAGATCTGCATTTTTAAATCTGGCTATTTTCCTTTCTCCAACAATGTGCATGATCCTTTGCCTGTGAGCTGCCTGAAAACAGACTGCTCTTTCCCAGAGACCTCCCAGACACTGCAGCACTTCTCTGAGAGACTGTTCTCAAAAGATGAAGAGCTAGACATGCTTTCTGTAAGCACCACACAAGCATATGATAAGCACCACACACTTTCGTATGAACTGTTTCACTTTGGGAGCTTCCTCTTGTTCCTGAGACATCAGGACACTGATGTGACCCCCTTCCCACATGCAAAAAAGAAGACTCTCTTCCTTTGTCTTTTTGCTTGTTTGTTTCTTTGTTTTTTAATTTGCTGTTTAGATTTAAAAAAAAAATCTGCAAGAGTTCTTCCAATAATATTACTTCACTTACCTGAAATTCTGGTCTACCGAAGTTAATTACATTTAAGCTTGTTGATTCTACTGTGGTCAAAAATTAATTCTTACCCTTACATCACTGCTTTCACCTCATCTTGCATACATATCCCTTTAATGCAGTCTCGATGTCACCAATGCAAATACCTTTTTCTAAAGATCTTAGTATTTGGAACTAACCATGATATCCACATATCCAATAAGTAAAAGTCATATTGTATTCATTCTATTTGATCTTCTCTCTGTTCTTGCTACTATTTAAAGTATTGATAGTAAAATTTAGAAATCACTCTGAAGTGAATGTGACAAATTGTTAAGATCCTGATTTTTAAGCTGTAGGCAAAAAGCACATCCATACAGAATTTCACCTCCGCTACATCTGCCTCTGAAATTATTTTTGTCAGGTTACTGTAGAAATATTCAGTTTCTGAAGAGGACAATTATTGACCTAAAGCTATTTAGTGTTTATAAGCAGCAGATTAGTACTTTAGTTGCAACCAAAAACAACTGTATCATTAAAGCGTGAACAAAATGTCTAAAAATATCTGCAAATCAAGAAAACAAACAAGCCAGTACATCGTTTCAATGTTTTGACCAAAACAGATGTGTGACAGGAACAACTCACCTAACCCCAGAAGAAGAAAGAGCAAAGAGCAGATTGTCCTTTCCACCTGTTTTGGCTATGGATCAGAAAGCCAGCCTGCTGGGTGACATTCTTAATGTAGCCCACCTACATTCTTGATCTCCTCCTCATCAAGCATCCCCACAGCTTCAGGGACTGGACTTTGTGGACACAATAAGATGGAGTGTCATATCTGTGACAACATGAGTTCTCCATCGTGCCAACTTCTCTGGATGTCTTTCTGTCAAGCAACTGAGGCCCTCCATGCACAGCTGCTCCGCTATTTTGCCAAGACGTGAGCGCTGCACTACAGCTGTATCAAAGATCAGGTGTCCTGGTTGTCATACGGATCGCATCAGAGGAACACCCAACCACTATAAAACAGAGAATACTTTGTTTGCATAATACAGCCAGTTATTATTTCCAGCTTCCATCTGACCTGTTGATTTGCCTCACAGGAGCCAGAGCAGCTGGACTGGCAGCAAGCAAAATCTGACAGCTGATTGTTCCTACCAAACAAATGCGTGAGAAGATGTGAGTGAGAGATGCTGCTCCTATGTTAATGAAAATGGAGAGAGAAATAGTCACTAAGTCCTTGCATAAAGAAAACCACGCTTGCTGTACACAGCACCATCCCTTTGAGTCATCAGATATAAAACTCTCTTGACGTGACAGCATGCAATGTTTTCACAGTAACAATTTCATGGTTGTGAAAGGAAAAATTAAGTAAGATGGACTTTGTTCCTAAGCCTTCCTCTGCCATCACCTCAATAAAAGCTGACCACAGCCAATTCAGTTCACTGCCCCATGTCTCCTCTTCCCACCTTACAAAAGAAAGCTGACAAAGGACGATTTTTTTTTTTTTTTATAAGAACTTGAGTGGTGCTTCACTGAAACTCAACACATATGGTATTTTCATGTATGTTACTAGCCTGCCTGACAACACAAAGACCAATCCGTACCCGTGGCAACAAGTAGCAAGTTCCATGAGATGCATTCACAGTGTGCATATTAGTGACTTCTATCCTTCCAACCATCTTCATGCTGTAGGTCTTTATATGCACATTTTCTAGAAATGTATTTCAAAACCAGATGCCCACACATACACTCTTGCTCTCTTCTGTCTCCTACAGTGCAGCGCAACCAAGAAGCAGAAGAATCTGTGACACAGTCTGTGCACAAAACAAACCTCATTAAAGGATGCACAGAAGTTTTATCAGAATTTTCTCCCGCCCTTACTGTATGTTTGGAACAACAATGCATATAAAGAAAGAGTATTTTCAGGAAATAGTTGAAGTTCCATAGTACCTAAATGAGTGAAATCCTAATGGCAACAAACTGGTCAAGATTCTGCCATCAGGTCCGTTCCGCTGCAAGTTCAAATCAATACCAGTTTTCTGTATGAATTTCTGTTGTGTGAATAAAGTGGAAGCCTTTACCATACAATAGGACAGCATCACCAAAAAGATGACCTGAGATAGCAGAAAATGAAATAATACAGCATTGCAGAAGTTGCCGTCCTGCCCAAAGGGTCCTGATAGTTACAAACAGGCATTTCACATGAACATTCCTACAGCTGTGAGAAAAAAACAAGTTAATGCACTCAAAGTCCCATTCATGACCTCAGTCAAAGGACAGCTGTCAGGATAGCTGCTTTGTGAAGCTTATCTTAATTCCATCCTCATCTTCAATTGGTGATGGCTTATTTTAACTTTCTGAATCAATTTCAGTACTATCCAAATGAAACAAAGCAACATACCAACACTCACATGGACTGCATTTGTCACAATTAGCATTTTGGATATATGAACATTGCAGTAAAGTCACAATTTACCAATAAAAAAAACAAAATACACAATATGGGCAGCATTAGGCAACTAATGTCGCATCACCTTTCACTTCCCCAGAAAGATCCCATAGAGTTGACAAGCAGCTACAAACAGCTTTCAACAACCTCAGTAAAGGTTTTGTTAGAAATTTAGCTAATGCGAAGCAGGAAAAATATTCTCACCTCTGCACTGAGTAGTGCTAGGATTACTCACTTTTAGATATATTAGGACACTTTTTGTAGCAGACATGTATCAGTAAAATACCTTCTCAAAGTTTGTAGGAAGTCAAGTCATTACATGTCTAGGTATGCTGAAAACGGATTTAGCCCCACTGCTGGGCGCCCATAAAGCCACCACTATGTGGGTCTGCAATAAAGGAGACAAAAACTACCCCCTTTTCCTTCACTTTCAGGAAAAAAAAAAAAAAGACCTCAATGGGGATAAGAGAATTAAGTTTGAAAATATAACAAAACTGGACAAAATCTTTGATAGCCAATTCCAATCTTCCTTCAGAATTTAGTAACTCCACTGCTCAGTCTCTTTGCCTTGTTCTTTCACTTCTCATCTCCAGCTGTCCAGAATACGTTAAGTTGCAAAATATCTTACTTTAGGACTTCTTTTGTGGTTAATTGAACACCTACATTCTTAATCTCTTCCTCCTCCTCAAGTGTCCCCAGAACTTCAGGAACTGGACTTTGTGGACACAAGGGAAAAGTTATGTTTCAGACATGCTCAACAGCATGCAAAAAATTGAAAAACTTGTTTTACTTCTTTTTAACAATCCCAACTTCGATTTTATGTAGGACATTTCTCACATTTAGTGAGCATAAAACTCAACATTTACCTGCTCAGCTGGAGAATTTTCAAAAGAAAACAGAAGTGCAATCCACAGGCAGACTAATGCATACAAAGCTGTTTCAACAGATGTGTTCAGTGTTTATTATCAAGTACTTCTAGATTATTGGATATCAGTTCCTTCAATAAAAGGTATATGAAAACTTACAGAAACCTAAGACAGACATATCCCCACACCATCTAGCTGATGGCAATTAATGTAACCATGGAATTTTCTGTTTGAGGTTTTGGCTACAAAACGGGGTGGCAACAGGAGGAGGGCTGTAAATATTTCCTGATTCATTAAGATCCTCTCCCCTACTTTTCTCCCCCCAACAAAAAGACTCAAGCATGCCTTCACTTATATATCTTTTAGGTAGACAACAGCCTGCAGAGAGAAAGCAGCTGAAGCAGCATGTGGTAAATTTATTTATTCTTCCACTTTTTCAAGAGCTACCGACTGAAAAGCTTACTTTATATTAGTGTTGCATGCCATCAGTTAGACTAAAGCAAACATATGCATTTATATTTTTCATTGATCCTGTCACTTCAAAGGCAGCTTTCCTACATTTCTGTAAGAAAACAGCAGGAGAGGGAAAACCCACAATCAAACCTGCCTGAGAATGTGAATTAATAAGACCTTCTGCTTAGAGATTCTTGCTGCTTCAAGCCTAGCTGAAAAAAGCTGTTCTGTTCTTGTTTGCCTTCCCAGTGGACAACAGAAAGGATTTCATAAAATATTTGGCGTTGCTATTTTTGCTTTGTAGCAGCACCATGCAATGTGAAAGCAGCACTGTGTTTTGATGACAATGTGCTACCTGGTACCATGAAAACCTGTGTTTTGTAATAGCCTGTGTATCTGATTAATGCTTTCCAGATAGCGGGCAGTGTTATCTCAAAAACACTAATTTCAGATGAGTAGATGTTCGTAAGCCTAGACAAATCCAAACAAGACAGAACTAAACAGGTAAAATCTGCTCTGTTTCAACTTGGACTGCCATGAAAGCAGTTCTGACAAGCTGAACCCTACACACGGAAGCTCCTAATATGCGTCACAATATAATTTGCAAGAAATGTTTCCTATCAGACTTGAAAAAGGATTTAAAAAAAAAAAAAAAAAAGCTAACACCTCTGCTGCATGAGATACGTGTATTTAAAATAGCAGTTAGACTTTCCTGCAACCTGGTTTAAGACCTGCTTCATACAAAAAAGCCTTCAACCATATATTTCCCCATTTTATACATAGAGATTAGTTGTTACATGACATGAAAGATCAGCCTGATGCCTGCAGAAACTTCCAATTTATTCTGTATCCTCACCAATGAGATCTAGGGGATAAGTCGACGCCATTAAAATCTATCAGTTCCATTTCTTTATAATAACAATTTAACTAAGGTGCTCAAATCATACCACTAACGTTTTCATAATGAAAACTTCTGCTATAACATAGTGGTGGTGACAGTGTATTTTTCCAGTCCCTTATCAAATGTAAAGAAATCCCAAAAATAAATTTTTGACCTCTAGTGTTGAAAAGATTTTTTCTTTATTCCCCAAAGAAGTCCTACCCAATATTTACCATTTGACGTCTTCTCTAACTCTGCTTTCAACTGTCCAATTTCCTTCCTCAATTTTCCATTAGTTGTTTCCATCGCCTCTTTATTTTCACCGCTTCCTTTTTCATTCAGGGCCTATTAAAAACCACAGATGCTGCCATTAATTTTGGTTAAATTAGTTGAATATTAATGTCAAACTATCAGAGAAAGTCAGCCTTGATCTTGCAAAGCAACGAGTTTAATCAAATGTCAATATAACAGGCAGATACCCAGTCATACCATAAAAGAACAAATAAGAAAGGAAAAAAGATGGAAGAAAAATTGTTCAGTATTTAAAGCTGCTATCAAGCCTTGTTCTGTATGTATGCACAGGTATGTCATCATCTCCCAGGTAAAAGTAACTGGTATCTCTGCAACTTCTGTATAGGTTACAAAAGGCTTTATGAAAAGACATACAGGAATGCACATGACAAGACACTGCCATGTTTATGTGCAATTTGTTCTAAATAACTGTTATCCTGTTTTATATGTCACAAATCCATTATAGGTTCACAGCTACTGTTTTGATCCTCAGAATACCCTGACACCCAGAGCAGATTTCCTCAGCAATTCAAGTAACAACTAAGAAAGGATAAGTAAGTACCCTGTAAGTACCAGACACAAGAGCAGTATACTCTCTGTACTCTCAAAACGTTAGCATCTACTATACTTCTGTATGCTCTTATCAGTAAATCACCAACAGCAATACCTTGAAGTATTATACATTAAGGATTACTCTCCCTAATTAGATTCTTTGCTCATATTGCTTCCAGTAGAAATCAAGCATCATCTTTGTTACCAAAATGGCAGTGAAATAGTTGTCAGTCCTTCAAGGGATCCCACTTGACTACCAGTAACAAGACTATAGCCAGTTTATTACGAGGCCTCATATTGCCTTCTGTACTTTGTTCTCACCTCCTTCTATTAATACGGTTATTTCTATAAACGTTTGTCTCGAGTCCTGTGCTTCATGGAACTTCTAAAAAGGAAGCATGAACCTAATGAACTAGGCTGTGCAGTATTTACACTCAAAGCCAGAGTGCCTTACATGCAACTGCTCGTACCTCCCTCTGATGGCAGAACAAAGCACATTCGTAAATGAACACAAACGCAGAGGGCCAAGCCACAGAGGAACTTTCACTATATGAGGTTATTAAAACAAAAACCCAATGAAATTCTCAACATTTCCAGCACAATGGAGACCCAGCTACAGCATGGTGGTTGTAACTGTGGATACCACTGCTTTTGCAAATCATGAAACCAAAAACACAAATAGAAACGGACAGGAATGCAGTTTCCAGTTTCTGGCTATCACTTACAAGCAGCTAAGAGAATGTGTTGCTTGGGAAACACACTTAAGAGTGAAAGCAGAACAAAAAGAGGACTTTTGGCCAAATCCCAGCAGGGATTTGAGGAAAAAGCGTACCAGGATGCAGCAAACAGACAAGTTCCAAGGCTATGGTTGAGAGTCTGGATCATTTTGACAGAATACCAGACTCAAAGATTTTGGAATCATTTCATACTTGGGAAATATGTCACATACACTCCAGTGATTCTCATTTCATACATCTCAAACACCTGTATGTTCTGCATCTTTCTAATATCTTTTGCCCAGAGAATGTTCTCTTTGTCTAGAGATTTATTATAATAAAAGCCCAGAAAACAATGCTGGCAACCATAAACACAACTCTAGGCAAGAGTGGAATAAAACCTACACACACCCACTTTGACAATGTCATATTTAAGAGTGCTGTATAAATCTTATCTTGGATATCTGTAATGTAGCTTATGGTTCATTCTCTACCAACAGCAGCTGAAGTAGCCAATGACAAGAAAAGATTTCATATATCTAGACAGGCATTTGTTGACTTCCCTCTCTTTATGCAATTGTATACTGAACCACAAAAACAAACAATAGCTTAATTTTCTTCACTCTTATAAAAAAAGTGAGGTGCCTTTGGTCCATTGGTGTTTGTTGGTTTTTTTGTTTGTTTGTTTGTTAGCTTTTTAATATAAGAAATGTTTGGTAATGTCCTCATTAGTAATACAGCAGTACTCTACTGAAAAAGCTAGACAAGACAACTCAGCTCTGGAGCAAATCCTGCTCAGAAGAAACAGCACCAGAACAGCTGTTTCAAAAGCTGCTCTGTGCTGGACTGTTTCAGCCCTGATCTACACAGCCTGACCTGAAGTCCTCTACTTTCTTAAGATTAAACTCAGAGATACTTTGACAAAATTTGTACTGGAAAGACAAGAGCTTCCTTCATTTACTCAGATTACTGTAGTTTCCTACTGAAATTTCTATTCAGTATTCTGAATTGCATATGGTAAGAAAATTATTCTTCCTTTCTCCACTAGAAAAAAAAAAAAAAAAAAAAAAAAACACAGTAGCAGATGATCTCCAGATTATTTTGTACTACTTTGTGTGTAAGAAAATAACTAGAAATGTTTAAAAGATACCTCCTGTAGCCTCTCATTCTCAGCCATGTATTTTTTGGCTGCTTTGGTCGCGTCGTTTACTTGCGTCTCCAGAGCTGCATGAGATGCCATTCCTTTTGCCAACTGAGTAAGAAGGGTAATAGTACGTCTCAAAACACTGGTAAAGAAACACAGTGAACAGCACAGTAATTCACAAGACAAGTTAAAAAAAAAAAACCACAACAACAAAATATCAACAAAACAAACCCAATACACAAAAAAGAACAACCCTTTTTATCTCTCTTTTAGCATTAGATGTGAAAACATCAACTTAAAGCACCTGAAGGCAAAAATCCAGGTTCAAAGATAGTAACAGTGATGTAAAAAAGTGGAAAGGTTGTAATTCATTGAAAATCTGTTTTAACCTGATAAAGGAATCTTCCTCTCCTTCCCAAACCCACAGCTATCAGGGGGTCAGAGACTTGCTTCCCCTAAAGGCTGAAATATGCTCACACGACTGTTTCAAACACAATCTCTGAATGCAAGATCCAAGCAGTACGTATGGCAATGAGTATGATTTAAAATAAGAAAAAAAAAAAAAAATAAAAATAACACAAATCCTTTATAAAAGGCCTTACAATAAAATATTGGCACACTTATTCTTAACTCTTACACTAACTCTGAATCAAGAAAAGGCCAAAGCAATACTAAATTCCTAGAGTATTCCTAGAGTATGACTATACAGATGCTTTTAAAAAAAAACTTGAAAATCCTAATAATTCATGTTTTTATGAAAGCATATTAATAAACGTGTTAACTCACAAGGTAGGCCTTCCCAATTTTTACGCTGAAAGCTCATTTTCTTACTTTTTTTGGATTTAATAAAAAGGCTTCCATGTCACTGTTTTCCAAGATGCAGCAGTCTAGAGTCAGTAAAACAACACAACTGAAGCAGAATCACTGTATCACGTAGGTTGGAAGAGGCTTCAGAAGGTCATCCTGTCTGAGGACCTGCCCAAAGCAAGTAGAGCAGACTGCACAAGGCCTTGTCTTGTCCAGCTGAGTTCCCACCACTTCCAAAGATGGACATGCAGCAGAATTTCAGGATTCCTGTAGCATTTGCCCACTCTCAACAGAAGAAAAATACTTATCAGAAGCTTGAGGTTTCAGTTTGTGCCTGTTGCTTCCTGACATTCCGATGTCGGTCCACAAGAAAAGTTAGCTTCGTCTTCTCAGTGATCTCCCACAGGAGAGCTGTACAAACCAAAACAGTCTCCTCCTCAACTTCTTGGCTAAAGCCAAGCAACAGTGGCCTCACCTTGTGTCATGTTTCAGTGCCTGACGTTTTCGGTGCCAGTATCAACGTTTCGTAAAGGGGAGCCAAAACCACGCACGGTCCTGCAACAGTAGTCCCACAAGCACCAGACAGGGAGAAACAATTTCTCTTCATTTCTCTTGAACTGCTGGCTACACCCTTGCTATTACAACTCAACACATGATTGACAGTCCATCAGGACTCCCAGGTCCTTTTCTGCAAAGCTGCTTTTTACCCTGCCAGTTAGGCCCAGCCTGTATGTTGTAAGTGGTTATTCTACCAGATGCAGTGCTTTTCATCTGCCTTTGTTTGACAACATGAGGTTTCTGTCAGCTTATCCCTCCAGCCTGCATAGCTTTCTGAGTAGCAGCACTGCTCTCCAAGATGTCTACAGGACTCTGGTTTGGACTTTCACCGTCTGCAGATTTGTCAGAAGCACACTTCAACTCATCACTCAAGTCAGCAGCAAGGTCATTAAATGCTATTGGGTCCAGAAGCAACCCCAGAGAGATCCAATTGGAATAAGCAATACCAATTAAATTCTTTTGAGTCCAAGACCCAGTGAATTTCCCACACACCTTTTTCTCCACTTCTCTAGGCCATCCTTCTCCAATCAGACTATCAGGATAACAAAAGAGACTACATGCGTAACTTTAGCAATGCCTCTGACATTATGTGCTCTGCCATTTACCCACACAGATAGTGATCTAACCACAGAAGGCAGCAGGAATGATCAGGCACTATCTCCCACTAAGCCTGTGCTGGTTGTTTCCAGCCACTGAATTTGCTCAAGTTCTCCCTAGCTGTACCTCTCACAAGGCTGAAAAAACAAACAAACAAATAAACAAACAAAAAAAAACAGAGGCCAGACAGCAGACCTTATCAGCAAGAAACAAGGCAAAATAAGGCTGGTAATGAGATACTCAATGCCTCATTCTTTCCATCACCCTTTGTAATTCAGTTCCTTGTTCCACTGAGCAGTGGGCCTATGTGTTCTTTAGCTTCCTTTGAATCTTCAGCTCTCCTTATCCCTTTCTGGTTTCAATTCCAGCTGAGCATTAGTTTTCCTATTGCAACCCCTGAATAATTAAGCAATGTTTTCTGTACTTGTCCTAGGTAACCCACCTCATTTTCTTCTCTTTTCATACCCCAGATGAATCTGGATATCACTGCTAATTCATCCCAGCCTTCTGCCTTGCTTATTTTACTTTGTGAGCACTAGAATTGAATCCTTGAAAAAATCCATCCAGCTCTCCCAAGTCTGTATATTCTATGATAGTCTACCACTGGGTAATGCTGAAAAGATCCTCAAATATGCCAGAACCTGCTCTTCAGGGTTGCAATTCCGCTATTTTTGTTTCGTGAATGCAAACTCTACAACCTCACAGTCACTGCATCAATAGCTGCCCATCATCTTCAACCAGTCTTTACTTGATTGTGAGCAACTGTCTATCAGAACACCTCTTTCAGTTCTGCCATTGACCATCCATACTAAGAAATTGTCTTCAATACATATGGAAACTAGAAATCTCCTGGATTGCCCATACCTGCCCCTACTGCCCTTCTAGGAGGAACAGGAGTGACTCAAACTCTCCTATTCTTAACTACCAATGCTTGCAATTATCAGTCTTCCCGCTGCTTAAGGAATGCCTGCTGAAGAAAAACACATAGATGAAGCCATCTATAGCAGATACCTAATAGCACTACCTGTCTCGTTCTGTCCTCTATTCTTTACCATATATCACTGAATGGCTCATCACCATTTTGAAGGCAAGGCTTCTTGCGTTCCTACCAACTCCTCTGCCAAATGGAATGCCTCCTCTCTCCTGCTCTGCTTTCTGCCCATAGCCATCCATTTCAGCACTCCAGTCATATAAGCTATCCCAGTGCCTTTGTAATCTGAATGCAGGCACAGAAAATGTGCACATCTATCCAGCAAGGAAGCACGAGAAGCAGAAAAGTCCTTGACTAGAGGTAACCACATCTCAGCAAGAATTAAAACATCACTGTGTTATCAACTTTATTTTACCTTAAAACCAAAATATGGCACCAGATCAGCTACTGAGGAGTGAATTAACTCTATCCCAGCCAAACCCAGGACGCTCTGCAACTGTGCACAAAATTTTAAGTACTTCTTTTGTCTCCCATGTTGCACACATTTTTGTGCTGCTTTTGCAGGGGGAGCATGAGAGCCTTGTCCACTTCCATTAACACAAGCAAAACAACTCTGCTAAGAAAAGTCATTTGCTCAAGCTACTATTGGAGCCTTCTAAATCTTTGGGGACTACTGGCCTTTCACAAAAGCCCATCAGCATACTTGAAGCACAGAATTTTTATCCACAATTATATCTATTAAGGTCACCAGACAGGTTTTATTCCTTGAAAGTCAGAGCATAATCCTGGGGGACCAGGATTGGACACAAGTTGGACACAGTCCAACCATTCCTCTCTTGGAGCAGAGATCACAGACATGTTTGTGCACATTTACTTAACTTTTCTGCAAGAAGGTTAAGAACATGATGCTTTCCTATTGCTACTGTGCAAGGCTACAGATGACTTTGCTTTTTTTTCTTTTTTCCTTTTGTTTGTACTCCAGTTTTGTATGATATTTTCCTTGAAGTCTCTTCATGCACAGTGCTCCTCAAACTTGTCCAGGTTAACAATCAAGACAGCCATACAGGTGGGACAAGTTGATCATGGGCCCCTGAAGTTCCAGGCATTCTCTTATTCTGTGTTCCTCTTTTATATCTAGGAAGTGACAACCAACTCACTGAGAGAAAACGGCCACCATTCTTTGTTCAATGTCACCATAAAATGTAGAACTAGGAAAACTTCTGACCATTTTCCTATTCATTCACATTATCTGTTCAATTAGTCCACATCCTCTTTGTCCAGCTGAGAAGATCTGCAGGTACTCTTGGCTGCTACTGGCAGTTCAAAGCTGTCCTTTCTGTTATCCTGTGCTACTAGCTGTACTTCAGAAACCTCAAAAGGACACCACGTTTAAGGTCATAATATCCTATTAGGCCAGCTGCCATAAAGTGTTTACTTGATCTGAAGTAATATTTGAAACTCACCTTGAAAGCTAGAGAATTATCCTTTGGTTCCTACCTACAAGCTTCAGATAAAACGGTTGAAGTCAGATTCAAGTTTTGCTTCTTAACACGGCAGGTTGAAATAATACCAGCTTGCAAGATATCAAGATTGTTTTAACAGTGCTTTAGTTTTTGAAGTTTATAATCCCAGTTCTAGTTGTTCAAAAAAGCAAAACACAGAGCAAAAGTACATGAAGGAAATGAGTTTTTCCTGAAGAAATGTCTGCAAAATACATGTTTTCTTAAACATTCCAGATGTGACTTTTCGTGTGCTGATCACACACCCCTCTGGTATTCAAACATTCGTGCCTTTTTATATCCCCTGATCTCACCTGCCACATGGCCTATTTGCTCACATTTACTCCTTTTAATTTCTTAAAATCAGCCTTTTGGTAATATTTTGGTTGCATTACTTTGTGCAATAGCTCCTATAAGATATGTGCTATATAGAAATCCAAGGTGTTATACTTACAGCCACAGGAATAAGGAAAAACCTGAGATATAAAGGTTTCTTTGTGACCGGAAGAGTTTCATCTGAATGTGATCAATGGCATTGGCATTGACATTTGCAACCTTCTCATTCACCTGAATGGCTGAATACTTTCTAACTTCTCTAACAGCATCTGTAAACAAAAACAGATTATTCTTAGTCACATCCCTGGGTATGCATTCATGACAAAGCAAACACAGTACTAGAAATATCTATTTGGACATTCTGGTCACCAAACAGTAACATCAGTTGTGTTATCCACAAAGCTTAACGATACATCTTGATAAATCACTGAAGCAATAACACATCTCCAGAGATGTGCCAAATCATTGACCAAAACACACTTGAACAGTTATTTCCAACATCTGCATCCAGACACCAGGAATCTGGCCAAAGCAACACATTGTACAAATGTTACCAGAGATGTGACAGCATCGAAAACTCACTGCTGACAACATGAATTAAAACCCAGCCAGTGGACAAGCAGTAAAAAAAAAAAAAAAAAAAAGGAAAATGAAAGGAAAAAGATGAGACACCTTCTGAAGCATTTGCCTCACACAGTATTTGCCAGATGAGCATACATTTTATTAACATCTGTATTACTACTTGTTTTCTATGCTTGAATCAGCATACAAAAAAGCTTTTCTGCAACACCACCAAAACAGAGGAGCTGTAACAACACAGTATTGTACATAAAAAAAAACAGAGGTTAAGCTACACCTCAGCCTCCTTCGATTGCCTTTTCACCAACTTTCAGCTCCATTTCATCCACTATATACTCCTTACAGTTCTCAAGATCAGCCAATACACCGTCAGCACTTCTTGAAGGATAAATCAATTAAGATTTACATTCTCATAAAAACAAAATCTAACCCAATTAAGAGTTTGTATTACAATCTACAACAGTGCAGCACCTATAATCTCCCTTTACACATTAAAAAAATATACTTATGACACATCATCAGTTCTTGCAGCACACTCTGGCCAAGTGTGTTAGATTGCTGCTGCATTTCCCAAAGCAAGCAAATAAGCTCCAGAGAAAAAATACAAGTAACATCAATTACAGCTGTTTCTCTTTTAAAGTGTTCTTAAGTTTCTTTGTTTTTAAAAAGGGGGGAAAAAAGACCTGAAGTGAAATTTCAAACAACGTAGTGAATCATAGGCTAAGACCAAACAAAATACCATAATTTATGAAGATTCCAGTCCTGCATCATCTAATACTATGGGGCATACATCTTCTCACTGCTTTATCCCAAATCTAGCTTTCCTCAGAAATCAGTGACCACTACCAACTCAGAAAGCAACCTTCAATCAAAGTTTCCAATTGGAGTTCAAAGAGTAAATTAAATTCATCAGTATTTGATCTTCAGCCATTTATTGAAGTATCTACTTTGAGAGACTATGAACTATTTGCATTTCACTACTTTGGCTATTATTAGGTATATGTTGCTGCAACTTAGTCTGATTTCTTCACACAGAGTGCACATGCATGTTTTCTGCAGCAGCAGCCAGGAATTAAACAACACTTTAACTGTAAGGCAGTGGAAACAACTCCCTCCTATCTATGGGAAAGAACCATTCCTATCACAGAAATAAGTGAAACACTTCATACACAAACCAGTCAGCACAGATAGTCACGCAGACAGTCATCATTTGAGCTCCAGTTTCACTAAAGCTTTATTCCAACACAGGCTCCAACAAATGTAGTCAACGGCTGTTTTGTATCTGTGCTGAGCAGAAGTACTCAAATAGCTCAGTGCCTTGATACCTTCTTCTGGTGCATTATTTTAACAGCAGCCAAGAGAAAGAGTGCCATCTACTGCAGGCTGAGCAGTTCAGCCAAACAGACATCTTGTGTAACAAACACCCTGTGTAAGAAAATGAAACCAAGCAGCAGCCTAGACCAAAGCATTTTTGCTCCTCATTTACTACATTGCCACTGCATCTGAATTCCTGACATTTAACTCAGTACAGGATCTCTCCTCTTCCATTCTAGTGGAGAATTTCTAAAGAAATTAGCTGGGTTACAGTAGGCTTGAATCTTTTCAATTAACTGCCATGAATTCCACATACTAGCTATTTTTTTCCAGTTTATTAGAGAATTACTTAACACTTACCAAGAAACAAGATGATCAGTAGAACTATTATTGTAAGGAACACTTTGTTCCAAAAGACAGCCATTTTGCTCCATAGAGGAATCATAAAAATCTTCTGCCATCTGCAAAACAACGTTCTGTTATTCAAAATAATTAAACATCAGAAGACAAGTATAATAGCCTCACAGAACAGAGCCTCATTACTGATATGAGACTTAAGAAAGGTCTCTGAACATCTGTTTTAATCACCATATAACAACAAAAAACCCCAAACCAACAACTCCCCATGAATTAAGACTGCTTCTACCATCTTTCAGAAGGCTCATCTTTTATACTGATGAGTCTGAATAATTATAAAGTAGGATTGTTATTACAGTCTAACTTGCAAATGACAAAAAACTGACAAGTCACACATTTATATTTTGTCAATAACATCTTTTGAGAGCATGAATTTGTCAGCCAGCAAACGATCTCAGGCAAGAAGAACTGTAAGGGTGATGAAGACCACTTACTTTTCTTTAAACAACTGTCTCTTCGGTATCATTTTGTGGAGCAAGCCGTGGGAATCTACACTTACAGCACAAATAACTTCAAACCCCAAAAAAGTAACAACAGTTCAGCTAGTTCTCCATGCTGCAGGTTAGAATCTGACTCTGCAGGTTAGTATCAGTGCTACTGTGCTGAATGGTGCTACAGTAAAGCAATACCTACTTACGCCATAGGGCGGTAACACAGCTATGTTAGTCACCATCTGATCAATTAGGTAGACTTCCCAACTTTTGTTAAGTTTATTTACATTTTCAAACAACTGTTAAAATTCACCCTTTAACAAAGCAGTTTTCTACCTACCGAGAATGTAATTACCCCCACTGCACTAAAAAAACATATTTTAAAATTTTAAAATATTTTATCATTCTGTGTGCAAAAGCCTTGTTTATGCCATTCAGTATAATCCAAACTCTCTACAGCAGACAGCTGTAGTCTACATCAACCAAAAAGCTTACTGTAATTAAGCCAAGTTACAATTCTAATGAAACCTCCTTGCAAACTCCTTACACGTGAATCTCCATGCTTCATCCCCCATGTTTCTGATGTATGTACCTTAGACCAAATATACTGCCAAGTTATACTAATGCTAAACATTACATCTCTTTACTGCAAAGCCTTCCTGTATTTTCATGCTTATTTTTCCTCCACAAGAAACATTAACATTTATTAATGCAGTACTTCCTTTGGCAGCAGAAATCACACAGATGTAATTCTTTCAAATTACAATCCTGGCCACAAGTACAATGCTACAATCAAGTGTCAGTACAGCTCTGCCTTTCTGGATACTTTTATAGTGACAATTCACTTGTTTCCGGGAACTTAGCTTGAAGCCTGAGATCTCAGGAAATCAGAACTTCAAAGAGCTGCAGTTTCACATCTCTTACTGCGTCCGCACCACCCTTAGGACAAAATTAGCTCTCAAGGCAGCAAGACGTGTAAGGCAGAACTGCTGCCTTCTGGTACTGTCACAGCGGCTAAATCCAGCCCTTAATTCTAGAGGATTCCTGTGACAGCTTTGTTAACAAGGTAATTGACCATGTCACAAAGACATGCTACTTCATTCTTTCAGAAACCCTTGTTTGAAAGAATAACTGAATGTTACAAACCAAACACAAAGATCTATCCCTATCACTGCAGACTATGCATTTGCTTTTCAGCTTCAAAGACCAGATCTGGGCCTCACCTACGTCGTAACAGAAACCTGTTTCAATACTGCCAACATCCCCTGCATGTGTCATCAGCCTAAACAAAGTCTTGCAGCTTGTTTCCTCACATAAGCCATTGTTGTTAACAATCTGATTACAGCTCCCATCATGCTTTTCCCCTCTTACAGGCAGTTGGACCTTAGACTCAGAAACAGAGAACGTGGGAACTCTGCAATCTGTACTGAAACACTGAACTCCTCATAAGCTGTGACACTCACTGCAGGGGACTCAGCCATTGCCAGGACTCTCTCCCAGAGGTGTAAGTGATCACACTCTGACTCTGCACACTGCAGTGTTTTGGTTTAGGTTTTGCTCCGTAGCATGTTACAGTAAAACCTGCATTCTCCATTCTAAAAATATCTAAAGATGAAGAAAGCCAACATTTAACAGCTTACACAGCACCACAGCAGCAGCAAATCTCCTAAGTAGCTTTTTTTTTTTTTAAACTGGTATTCTGTAAAGAAACCTTAACAGTGCCTCCTGCAGAGAAGTTAGCTGTATTTCCTCAGAGGAATAAAAACAGCATTACCAAATTGGGAAATCTACTTAGCAAAAAGGAACTGAAAAGAACTCCAAGCCAGGCCTCTGCAAATAACAGGAGCAATTAACGTATTTTGTTTCTGTTGTATTTCTTTCTGTTACTACAGGCATTTACCTTAGGATTATACTTAATGTTTATATCGCATTCCAGCAAAACTATTTTGTTCTGTATACATATACAGAGATGTTCAGTCAGCATCTCTGACTAAACCTTCAGCATCCTTGCTTTTAAACAAGCCTCTAACAGCTCGAACAAAGGCTGCTGTTGACGAGCTCCAGGTGCCCAATGTGCCTCAGCACCCACAGTGCAGCGCACAGCCCGTATCAGCACATGCAGTAACGGTTCCCCAGCTGCCCTCCTTCAGGCTGGCTGCTCCCAGAGAGCAGAGGGGACAAATCCCTCTCAGTGAAGCAAGGTGAGAAAGGCTCGTTGCGGGAAGCCCAGGTGCTGGACAGGTAAATTAAAAGCGTGTAAGACAACCCCATAAAGCTCCTTAAAACAGGCTCCGGTGCCTGGGACTCCGTGACAATTCAGGTCTCAAGCAGCATTCCGCAGCTCACACCCGTCCTGAGACTCACCAAAGCTCCACGTTTGTAACAAAAACGTAGAAGCACAAACACGGTTCGAGAAGCCCGACTGGGCCAGGCCGGCACGGCCCGAGCTCCTACCTCAGCGGGGAGATGAAGGGCAGGCACAGCACGAGCAGGACTCCCACCTCGCCGTACAAGAAGGCGGCAACCGCCGTCCACTGGACAGTCATCGTCCCGGCGGCCTGCGGGCAAAGCGGGGCTCAGGCGGGGCCCGGATGCACGCGGCGGTCACGGCTGGCGCCGCGGCTCGGGATCTCCCGCCCGAGTTCCGAACCGGGTCCCTCCGCGCCCTCCCCGCCCGGGCCGGGCCCGGCCTTCTCCACCGCGCCCTGAGGAGACGCGGCCCCGCCGGCCCTCCGTCGCCGCCCGCAGCGGGGCGGCACCCCCTCCCCGCCGCCCTCGCTCCTTCCTGCGCAGCCGGGAGGCCTCGGCCGCCCTGACCCTGTCCCCGTTCTTCCCCCTCTCCCCCGTGGCAGCCCAGCCCTCGCAACCTCCTCGGCTTCAGGGCCTGATGGCGGCGGACCGCTCTGGAAGGGCTGGGGAGCGCGGCCTCGCCCGAGAGAGCGGGCCGGGGCAGGCAGGAAAGCGAGCGACAGAAGCGCCCTTCCCGCCGGCGCTAAGGCAGAGGAGCGGACGGCGAGGCGGGGCGGCTGCCGGCGGGATGTGGGCCGGTACGGAGCTGAGTGACACGGGCGGGGCGGGGAGCGGAGGTGGTGCCGCGCGGAGTTCCTCAAAGGAACGCGGCAGCCGGGCTGTGCTCGTCCCGGTAATCCCTCAACCGCGCCCTCCCGGGCTACGGGATCCCACTGATAACTGCGTGGGGTCAGATGTGGGCAGTCAGTGTGCCCGCGGGCCCTCCGCTGCTGGACATCTACACGCTGAGAACGGTTAACATGAGCATCTTTTTACGTACAACGGCTAGATGCAGACGGTTGTAGAGCCCACTGCCCCGTGCCTCGAGCTTGTTACATCAAGGCCTTGACTTCACTGCCTGACACACTCACAGGTTTCTGACGGTCAGCTGAAGTGTTGCCCCATGGAAGCATTGCGCTGCAGGGGAGGGTCAGGCTGGGTATCAAGAGAGGGTTCTTTATAAGAGTGTGCTCGGGCCCTGGCACAGGCTGCCCTGGGCAGTGGGCATAGCCTGAGCTGATGGAGTTCAAGAAGAGTCTGGTCAACACTCTCTTGTATGGTCTGGTTTTGGGTGGTGCTGTGCACAGCCAGAAATTGGACTCTATGATATTTATAGATCCTTCCAACTTAGGATATTCTAGGATTCTACGACTCTATAACATACAAAGATATCAACAATATCTACCAAACAAGTTTCAGACAATGTCCAGCAGGCTTGTTTGGACCTCATGAGTAAAACCACATTCCTTCAGAAAGTTCTTTTCTGCCCTGTCTTGGGTGCAGTGTTTTTCATCAGCATTGCAAGGTTCTAAGCGTGGTATGCCCCTGCATTGCTACTGGAGCAGGTTGCCCAAGGAGGTTGTGAATGCCCCATTGCTGTAGGTGTTCAAAGCCAGGCTTGTCTGGTGGCTGGCGATCCTGCACATAGCAGGGGGGTGAAACTAGGTGATCATTATGGTCCTTTTCAACCCAGGCCATTACACGATTCTATGATTTCTCAGCCATCTTAGCCACTTGCAACTCCCCTTATTTCTCCCAGATAACCTTCCCCTCATCTCTTTTCCCTGTTGTTCCCAGTCTGTAACTAATACAGATACATAGATATTATCTATACCCGCATTCAGTATTTCTGATATCCTTACTTGCTAATCTTGGCCTTGTATGGTACTACTGAGGTAGTGACATGGCTATTGGGCACCATTAACCCAGCAAGCTCCCAGTCCCAAATGGACTCCAAACACTCTTCGGTTATTCCTGTTGTTCAGCTGTTTTTCATGTAACTCCCACTTAATCACCAGTGAAATCCAGCCACCCCTCCCAGGGCTATCTGCAGCTTTTTTTAGCTTCTCACGCTGTTGCATGCCACATCCAGCAATTTCACCCTGGGCAATCAGCTCAGCTCATTTGCCTGCAGCTCCAACAGGTATCTGTCTGCTTGGGAAGGGGTTACCTGGTCTAGCTGGGCATGACCAGCCTTCTTGACACAACTATCTGAGCTCCTTTTGGGAATTCTGTCCAAAAAAAATTACATCAAAAGGACATAGGTTAAATAGCATGAATAGTAAGTAGTAAAAATCCACAGAAGGTAAAATGGTTAGGCAGTCACTCTATCAACAGTTATCAGCAGAGCTGACTGCAGCTGCTCTCAGTCTGAAAGCTCACTTAAATTTCCCAGGTCTGTGGCTTTGGGACTGTGCCTGTGTGTTAACATTTTCCCAGTTGCTGCCAAGCAATGTCTGTATGAAAGGTTACATCCCAAATAATTGTTTATCCATAGCAAATATTGGAGAGGAATACAACCAGCGATTTCAATCTAATCTACGCTGTGAAAGCAGCCTGGGTTTTAAGAAGCATTTCTAACATGTTTTCATAAACATATAATCAAACTCATAGATAAAACATAGCCTCTGAATATATTCTGGTTATTACATTTTAGCTATTGGCCTACTGCCATTATACTTTATTGAAGCTATTAAAATGTTATTAAAGACTTTCTCTTCATTAAATCCAGAGCAGTTTCCTTTTCTGAGCTGCGTGCTAGCACTGCAGACCGCTCTCCAGTAGGCTAGCTGCATACTGACAGGACTAAACTTGCACATCCCCACTGCCAGAGAGTATGAGTCTGCACTGGCACTCCAGGAGCTCCATAAGATCTCCCTCTGCAGTGGCTGCTGTGCGCTTTGACTGCCGCTGCTGAGCATTCTCACCAACCTGGAATGAGGTCTGAGGTAGCTGAGGAGAATAATACTGGAGTAACTTTTTAAAAATTGAAAATTAGTTAGAAAACAGAAGACCTGGTGATGCTACAAATACTTTAACTAAGGAAGGAATGTATCTGCTGGCTTTAAACTGGCTCAGTTTTCCGATGTTCAAAAGGCTGATAAGAAATGTAACTGCACTCTAAAGCAAAACTGGAAGTTAAATAATTAACTGCCATGGGGATATCTTTAATGTGCACTGCAAACAGTGTAGGCTGTTCAAAGTATGGCTTTAAAACTCAAATTTTGCAATTCATCCTGTGTCAAAGCAATGAAATGTGTTTGGATGCTGACAAACTGACAAGGTGGCACGCAAATAAACCCACAGCCATTCATTTTACTACATAACAGGATGCTAAACTTTCATTGACTTCTATGGTACTTAATTGGCCAGATCAAGCACTCCTTAATTACTAGCAATATTAACTGCAACCCAGGTCTTGTACATCAGGCAGAAATCTCTATGATTGATATCACACAGGCACAACAACTGCTGCCTACAAAATCATCCAGTATTCAGTTCCTAAATAGGTCAAGGTATTCCAAGTCCTCAAAAACACCACTTCCCCACTAAAAAAAAACAAAAAAAAAGCCTTGCTTTTCTGTTTTTGATTCTAATGAATCTCTTTTTTTCCCTCTACTTCACGTGGCGACTGATTTGCTGTATCATAAAATCTTAAGTAAATGCTAACACAGGACCTCGTTGATACTCTAAAGAATCCATTTCTTATGCAAGTCAATTTCGTAGTTTTTGATTTTGAAGCAGAAGACTCAAGGCATTTTCAGAACTGAAGAGAACTGAGTACTGCACTATAGTTGGATGAACTGGAAATACAGCCCATATCAGAGGAGATGTATAAACTTCACTGTCTTAAACAGCAAACGAGACTTGATGACTCAGGTCATGCTTTTCTAACTCATTTGTATACCTAAATCAGAACATATTCTCTATGAAAAATAAGTAAATCTTTTCAGTCACTGCATTAAGAATACTGCAAAACTGCAGATATCTAAGCAACAGATAAGGGGAACAGCATCAAAAGCAACACCCCCTTCCCCAGGTTGTCATAATGTACACTGTAATAAACAAATTGCAATCATATACAAAAGTAAGTGGTTTATTTAGAAAATTTAGAACCATTCATTTGTATATGCATGAAAGTACCAGTTAAAAAAACTAAGCAATTTCTTCTATGAATTTCTGTGTAAACATAGAAAGGAAACAAATTATTTGATTACAAATAATTGTACTGCATAGGCTTGTGAAATTTCCCTTGCAGAACAAATGCAGCTGGTGTGCAATGTTATTGTCTTGTTCTGATTTTCACTGTCTTCCTCCTATACAAAAATCCAAAGTGAAACGGCTGTCATGCTTTGATAAGCAACATGCCTGCAGAAAGGATGCAGGAGTCCTACTGAGAGAATCTGTCAGCTTTTCTTTGGCCTATAAAGTTCTGGTTTGGTAGATGACTGCATTTTGATCTTTCATAGGATTATTATGTAGTAGATAACCAATACTGTATGTGGTTACACTGAACTTTCAAGTCTTGTATGCTAGATCCATCCAGGTCTATATTTGATTTAAACTCTCTTCATTTTATTCTTTCCTTCCTTCTGTCATCTTGTATTGCAGGTTTCTTTCATTATATTAATGGTAGAATTTTTCTAAGTTATAAATCTGAAAGATTTTAGATTGCAAAAAGAACATCTAATTTAAGAGGGTACAACACTGGGCTTCAAAGTCTCACAGTCTTTAAGCTGGAAAATTCTACTAAAATTTAAAAGCACATCTTATATCTTACATCCATTAAAGCAAATATTTCTATAATTGGTCCCTCTGTATTCTTTTGGTCATACGTTTTTGTTGTTATTTAGTAGTAGTAGTCCTGATTTTAGGGAGTTCCACTAGAAAAAGGCCTTAGTTTTGCTTACTCTTGTAAGTGAAAAATTTTTCTGGTGAAAAATAAATTAAATCACTGCAGTCACATAACAGCCAATCCTCTGTACAGTAATGCAATGTAAACAGAATTACACGTTTGTGGAATGTGGAATATTTCTTCAGTTAAATATGCTGATCTAAAAACGAAAAATCTAAACTATCGGCCTAACCTCAGAATCAAGCTGTATTGAAAATATCTACACTGCGTTATGGATTTAATCAGTAAAAGCCCAAGTAGCAATATGTCAGCAATTGCAAAGAACGAGTTTGCACACAACTGAAATGCTTTCAGCTACACACACCATAATGATGACCCAGGTAATCTAGAACTGCTGAGGTACTTGATAAAACGTTAAAAACTTTCTTTTCTTGTTTTGAAGTTATCCGTTCCATCATGTACATTAAGTGGTGGTGAAAACATGTAAAAGGAGTTCCATGCTCAAGAGCAATGTCAACCCAATCCTGGATGCACTTCAAAGGTGTTTCTTCGTATCCTGCAAACATAGCTGGATTTGCTAAGAGTCCTCTAGCCACCATTACACCTTCAAATTGCAAATTAAAGCAGTGAGTTACATTATAGTTAGATTTTACATTACAACTTCTATAGCACCTACTTTATAGCATCCATTAGAACAAGAAATGGGAGAACAACAGGGGTGAGTACTATATCTATATCAAAGAAATCAGTTTACAGCCCAAGCTCCTGCACCATCTGTCAGCTCATTTAACCTGCTGACATAACCTTCCAGAAATTCTGATGCAACACACACAAAAAAAGAAGCCCTTCTTTTCTACTTTTTAAACAGCAATTCAATATTATTCTGTTTTTATCTTCTACACACATGTAAGCCTATTCTTTAACATATAATCACGATGTAAAGACACAGGAGTAGTAAAATGCTGAAGTTATTTTAGCGCAACTCAGCCGATTCACTGACCTGGAATCATTCTTCCATTAGCAGCTCAAGTCTCAGTGATAGAGATCTCATGGCTCCTACTCTACAGAAAGCGTTTGTTTTCTGAATAAACCAATGCATTTGCAACTATATTCCCAAATTGTCAGATAAATCCAGCCAAACTCTACTGAAATATTTCTTGAAAAAGTGATTGCTTTCCTGAACTGTAACATATAATCTGTCGCATTTAATCTCTTCCTACAAAATAGCATGACCAAAAATGAAAAAAAATAAAATAATAATAACCAGGATTGTACAAAACAAAAAATATGCAGTTTCTGGTTTGTTCTTACTGTATCTTAAACCATCATATGTTGGACAGTTTGATGTTTTATGCTTTATTGTTCAAGAAAGTCAAAAAGAACATCCTTTTCTGTTCATGTATTTTCTTCCTGCTTTGTATCTGGGGTGAAAGCCACTGTAGCAGCATGGCAGTTTGGTGCAAATAGTTTTGTTTTTTTTTACAACACCGACGATGTCAATAGAAACCTGCCACATGAACTCATGCTATGACACTGGCTCTGCCCTGTTAGGCTCTAACTGTAAGACTCAAGGTATGCAGATCCAGATAACTTCTTCAAGATATATACTGAACATCAATGTTGGCTTGAAACCACAGACAGCTGAAGGAATCTATTGTAAGCAAATAACTGCAGGGCAATTTTTCACTTCCATATTTTACCACAGTAATGGCAAGATAAATAGACAGTGCAATGCTTCACCATGTACTTGAAAGTAAACCATTTTATTTGTTAAATATCCAGCCTGTTTATCTTTCTCCCTCTATATTCTTACTATAAGAAACCCATTACCATTTGCAGGAAGCAGAGGATTTCAAGTCAAAATCTACAGCTCTATAATAAATGATCAGCTCCATGAACAGAATGGATGTCTGATCCTCCTTAAACTCCGCCACAACTCCACTACTGAGTGATGAAAGCATAATTAAGCAAAGAGTTTTTGTAGTTTGCCTTTCAAATCTATTTGAGACTTTGACTGAAGTGCTCTGGTTCTCTGATAATTACAAGATCCCGTTTATGAGCTTATTAAGAAGATGCAAACAACATCCTACTTCTAGCTTAAATAAATACTCAGAAATTTAATTTGTCAATTTACTTAGAAAGTAGGATATGTTTAATCTTACCATCTGCTCCTGTCAAGTGATGAACATTTTCAGCATCTTTTAAAGTTCTGATGTCTCCATTAGCCACAACAGGTATGTGCACGCTTTCTTTAATTACTTTAATTGCATCATAATGTACTGGCTGATGTCTTTCTTCTATACTTCTCCCGTGTACTGTAATCCATGAAACTCCAGTTGCTTCAGCTTTTTTACACAGGTCTACTGTTTTTTTTAAGTCTTCATGTATCCTGAAATTCCGAGGAATTAAAACATTAGCTAGCAAGCTACCTGAACTGTATAAAAGCCCTCCATGAAGAGGAATCACCAGAGATTTCTATAAATACTTGTAAAAAAAAAAAAAAAAAAAAAAAGGACAACTAATGTGGGAAGGTAAATATATTTAATATATATTTAGTAAAGATGTATAATTTATTGAAATCACTGTTTATCATTTCCCAGTTACATACCATCTCTGAAGCATGTGTGGTAAATTTTACAGAGATGAAGCAAGGGTACCCAAGATTCTACATTAATTGTCATTACTTTGCATAACTGTGGAAAAAAAATCCAATTTATAACAGTTCTCCTTTTCTGAGAGACTGCAAACAGAGCTGAAACTTAACCAACAATATGCAAAAGCACCATGGGATGAGAAGATAAATAGTGGCTGAAATGTCAGAAAGTAGAACAGATCAACAGTTTATACAAGTTCAGAAAGTGATGAAGGGAGGGAGAACATGTTCTTACAGCAGCTGTGTGGACTGGTTCCCAGATCTGTTATCTGTCTTTTATAGACAGCAGCAGGTTACAAGTAAGTCCACATAATTATAGGTTACGTATTGCTTTTATTTCATGGAATTCTAAACCTTTTAACTTGAACTACCATGTCTTCCGGATTGCAATAAAATTCTGACATCCACTCTGGTATCTGGGCAAGCAGTCAAAGACTGAGCTTGTTCTACCATCTGAGGCTGGTAACCTGCTCCAGATTTGCTTACCACCTGAGTCAAAACATCCCAGTAGTCATCACATTTAAGGAACTTATAATAATTCGTACTACTGCATTAATTACATATATTGTAGTGTAACTATTACACAAACATCTTTCTTTTGAAAAACATTAAAAGGCTTTTTCCACGTTCTGCAAAGAGTATGTTAGCCATACCTTATTTTAATAGACACTGAAAATCCAGGATTGTCGATCTGATTCCGTACGTGTCTCACCATATCTTGAACCAGCTCCGGTTTATTTATTAAGCAGGCACCATAACCTTCTGCCATTGCCCATCTTTGAAAGGAAAAATAACGTTTGTATTCTACAATTGAAAAATGCAGATCAATTTCAGTTAAATGTATCAGTTTCTTATAGCCTTTAGAATGTGTGGCTGAGTAAGCAGAGATAATAAAGGCTGTAGTTTGATGTAGTTGATGTTTGCGGTGTGACACCAGCTTTTAGATCCTGGTTCAGTTTCTGCTTTGCTGTTATAATTTTGGACAAGTAACGAATCTGTTTAATTTTCTATCCACAAAACAGGCTTACAAGGAAGATAAACATTGAATTAACAATGGCTTAGATCATACATAAAAGAAATAGCTTGGTATTTCCCCTCAATTGGGTCATGGCTTTCTTCTGAACAGAAAATTACTTTGTGTTGGAAAGGAGCACAATTGAAGTGGAATAAGAATCTGATTTCAGTAATATTATCTTTTCCTTCAAATGACAACAATTACTTATGATTGGCAGGAGATAACCTTTTGCTTTTACTGAACAGCAGCATTCTTTTCTTTAAAGAATTTTTCTTATACAGGCAGATACACACAGCTCTACTATGCTGAAATCAATATGCACAAGATTTGGAAGTCTCCAATGTCTCCAGAACTGTTTTCTCAGATACTGTAATTTTAAGTCAAGATAACTAATTAGAATAGACAAATTAAGTACGTGCACCATGATATTATCTCCTGCTGTCCCACATTTATTTTTGAGACATTTACTTAGAAAAAGATTGCCTGACAAATGTACAATAAATGGTTCTCAATTGAAGCAGTTAGTGAGAATCTTCATTTGTGCATTATTATTCTGCCAAAACAAAATTTTTAAACTATCACTAATTCACTGTATTTCCAAACCTAATAAAAGATGGAGGGAATTCAGCTAAGCACTTCATGGGTAATATAATCTGTATAATTACATTTTAGAGACTGTTCTTCACTTGCATAAGCCTGAGACAGCAGGGACATGGTTCATTATTTTGGAATTGCCGTGCTATTTCTCAAAACACTGGATTATTTGCAGCAAAGTTCTTCTGGAAGAAGTCAAATGGTACAGCTGCTAAATCACAGAGATGGGCACTTCATTTCTGAGCTGACCTTCAGTATCTCAGAAATTAAAAGAGGCAAGACAGCAAAGACACCTGGTGACCATGGGCATCTCTGAACATTCAGAACAGCATTTTACCACACACACATTTCACTCCGACAGGTTAAAAAGCTATTTCAATCTCAATCTTTTTTTTTTTTTTTTTTTTTTTTTTAATTAAGACAGAAATGAGTATGAAAATGAAGGCCAGCATCCTTTATTCTCAAATTAATTTAATCATACTTAACCATTTTTTTCAAATCTTTACCTCTGCGGACAGCCACAGTTTAGGTCTATTCCATCTGCGAAAGGACAGACGAGAAGGGCAGCGTCACATAAAACTTGTGCTTCTTTAGCAGCAAACTGAACAATCAATGGATTGTCACCTACTCCAATGAAAAGATATTTAGAGGTTGAAAACAAGAAAAAAAAAAATCTAATTTTTGAATGTTTCATTACTTAAATATGTTTAACTTTCTTAAAAATGTCAACAGATATATATTTGCTTACAATTGTCAAAATCAACAGGTTGTTTAAAAGCAGCATTCTTAATTCAGACTATTCACAAACTAATAATGGGAAAAAAAATTCTTCAGTTATTCTTTCTTTGTATTGTATGTTTTCTTGGATCCAGAATACTTCAACATTAAAACCAAATTGAATAAGAACATCACCAGTGCCACCGCACCTTCAACATAAACAATCTATCTGTTCTCTATTAGGTTATTTTCCCCATGACAGCACCATTATTAAAATAAAATCTTAAAGATAAGCTGCACTGTCATAATCTCACCAGTTGCTGTACTGAACTCCAAGAAGTATGTACAGAACCAAATGTGCTCGATGGCTCCATTCCTGATAGTGATTTTTTCAGCTATTTTACAGGGTGGTACCACAGGAAGGCTGTAGGGGAGGAGCCCCAGGTGTTCTCAAAGTGACACCACTTTGATAGACAGTTAAGTCACAGGCAGGAGCTGGGTGTTTCTTCTCTTAATTTGACCCATGTTTCAACCCCTCCTGGAAGAGCCCAAAGCAATACCCTAGAAATGGTCAGGTCACAGGAGGGGGCCCAGTGCCCTTTGCTTTGATATGACTGGTGTCTGGTGTCTCAATCCATCTTGGAATCCATCTACAAACATGGCTGAAGGGCTGTCCTTGCCCTTCTCACTGCTGCATCCCTTCTTTGTTCTGTGCCCCCTTGTCAACACGCTTGATGTGGGACCAGAACTGGTGATCTCCTTTTCTTTCTTTAAGCTCTAACCCAAAACTTACTTGAATTTCCTATAAAACTGCACAGACAGAATTGTGGGAGAGCCAACGCATGCAGTTAACTGTTTTATGGGTATCTCCTATTACAGTTTATGGCTTTTCCTCTTATGCACAGACCTTGGGTGTTGTTTCACCTTGATCTAACCAGAGGGATTTGCAAATCTAGACACCCCTCCCTTCCCAGGCAGGATATGATACAGGAACTCTGTCGTAGCCGACTACAACACTGCCAGAGCCTTGCCAGAGGCCTCCTCATGCTATGTCATTGCCTATGCATAGGCCGATGCAAACTTTCTCATCGCTCACCACTGTGCTACATCAACTCTCAAACTCTTCTTTTTGACTACAGCTGCAGCTGTAAGAAGTCTCCCTTCTCTACATAGGATTTTAAAGATTATTTATTTTTAACTTATTGAAATAAATCTCCTGTTTATATGAAAATCTTTATGAAACCAGAACAATGTGCTGAAAGTATGATTACTTGCTTGTCTTGCTGAAAACACCTACTCCAACGATGCCTAGAACACACTGGATATTTTCTGGAGCTGCTAAAAAGCATTTCCTGCCGAAGAGAATTACACTTCAAACATGATCTGTTCCACAGTTGTATCAGGCTGCTTACAGACTGCTGTGTTTTGCTATAGCTGTGTATGACACATAATCATTAACAAAGATTTCTAGTGTCCTTGTTTCTATCTAATGTAGTCATTTGTGGTGAAAATACAGCAACAATGAAGGAAGAAAAGATGTCTTACAGGAATAACATTACCAAGCAAACCAAAGGGAGGCTCTAAGAGAAAAAGAAAAAAAAGGCAAGAGAATTTAGCTTCCTGAAGTAGGACATAAATGTAAGGCACAGATCATGCTGATATTCCAAAAAGTCCAGACTCAGAAAAAGCTGTTGAAGAACCAGAAAACTGAGCGTACTACCGAGGCAGCTTTCAGTAGCTACAAACTCTACCCTTCCTTATTCCAGATACTTTTTTGTTTCAATGCCAACACGGCTGGGTTTTGTCCAGTACGCAGAGCTGGAATGAGAACACATAGGCAGAGGCAGCTTTCACAGATTTTTCTCTCATAGGAAACCAAAGCATCAGTGCTCCTCAGAGTGGGCCTGGTGAACTATTTGTGATCTACAAAGCTCCTGCAGAGAGCCAGATGGTCATTTGGAACAGGCTCTCCTCTTTGACACCTACTGCATTACATTAAAGGCATCTAAAAATATCTCAGTATTAGCAGTTACTTTCCAAATAAACGATTGCTGCAGTTAAGAGGGATGGAGAACAGGGTAAGAAAAATATCTGAGCACCAATGGAAAGAAAAGAGCCAACAAATGCACACAGCACGTGTACTTCTGGTACAGAACAGACTGCAAATGCTTCTGAAGATTTCCTGTCTTAGTGGAATTTACAGAATTCTTGAAGTAATGGAACTGAAGTCAGAAATGGCAGCAGTATCTTCTGTTAAGAAACTTCTGTAAGTTACCTAAAACATGCCACAAAAAATCCCTTTTGTATTTTCAAAACAGTGTCCATTTAGACAGTGCTCTAGCTGAAAAGATTTAAATTGATACAGCTAATACACTGGAATAATCCCAGGCTCCTTGTTTTTCAGCTAAGTATTAAGTAATAAAAATGCTAAATCAAATAATAATTAAATTCTTAGCAGCAGCCACAGGGAACATCTACCACTGTTTTAGAAATACACAACAAAGAAATGTCAATGCCAAATGTCAATGCAAAAAAAACAGAGCAAAAATTACAATTGCAGGCTCCAAACCTACTCTGCTCATTAGAGTAAAAAATGCCCAGAAAATTAAACAAATCAATATTAAGATTTTACAATCAGTTATGGAGCTATTTGTTAAAAGCATGAATGCTAATAATGTAAATACTGTTATTCTGGCTAAGCTGTTAGAGGCAGGATGGTTTTGGAGGCTGTAAAATTAAGGCCAGCATAAAAGAGGTGAGTAGGGAAAAGATGTTACTTACAATACTAGAACATTTCATCCTGAGCTCCTTGTCAACAGGCGACAAGATTACAGCAAACAGTGACAAGAATTTCCTCTTTCCCCATCCCATTATCTGCCAAAAGCCAACCCATAGAACTTTACAGGACATTGTGAAGATCAAAAGTATAAACAGATGCAAAGGGTGGAGCAGTGGCTCTGCAGACCTCTGAGCTGTATATATCAGTTATGTTCTTATTTGTTTATTTTGAATAACAAAAAAAATTAAAGCTTTCTTCTAAGTTGCACTCCATTAATAAGAGTCTACCTGTGCTTCCCAATGGGATTCTTTCCTATAAATGACCTGTTGTATTCAAATAATGCATGAAATCACAGATTATAGTTCTACTACTATTACATATACACTTACAAAACCATTCACTGAGTGGCATGAACAGATGAAATCGTTACCTTCTGCAGATCCTACAGGCCAATCTTACTAGCATTTTAGCAGTGCTTTCTCCATTCCTCTAGTTGTAGCCCAAGCTTATGTGTTCCTTGTTCCACTTCTCTCATACAACCACTTCATGCCAGCTGATCTGTATCCGTACTGTTATCTCTTCCCATATACTCATGGTCAAATTTTCAGGTGGTGTTGTGTGCAGCCAGAAGTTGGACTCAACGGTCCTTATGGCTTCTTTCTAACTTGAGATATTCTGTGATTTTGTTCTATACTACTTTTCTCCCTTACTAAGCCAGGGCTCTGTATAGCTCCTTATATATATATATATATATATATATATATATATATGTCCTATATATATATACACACACATATATTTATAAAATATATAATAATAATGTATTATATATGTATATATTTAGTCTGTTCAGGTTACATTTCTATATCGTGTCTGAAGCCTGGCTTCTCATTATGAATCCTGGTTGTGCTTCTATTCTCTGGACTCCCTTTGCTCCTTCTATCATTCTGAGATCTCAAGGAGCCCACGTTCCATTTTACCACCTGATAATTTAAAATTCTGTTTCTCTTATCAATCCCCATATTATATGTCTGATCTATTCATCTTTTCCCCTTTACAAACCCTCTCATTTTTGTTAGAAATCAGAAAATATATGGTAATGGGTTAAGCATACATCTCTGATATATACAAGAAGCAGCAATTGCTGGCATTAGAACCTTATGAGCCTTATGAGCAGACAGAAGGGCAACCATATCTTGGGTTGCATTAAGAGAAGCATGATCAGCAGGGAAGGAGAGGCGATTCTGCCCTTCTACACTGCTCTTGTGAGACACCATCTGGAGTACTGCATCCAGTTCTGGAGCCTATGACACAAAGACATGGAGCTCTTGGAACAGTCCAGAGGAGGACCACAAAGATAATCAGAGAGCTGGAGCACCTCCCCTGCAAGGACAGGGTGAGAAAGCTGGGGCTCTTTAGACTGTAGAAGAGAAGGCTCTGAGGAGACCTAATAGCAGCCTTCCAGTAGCTGAAAGGAGCCTAGACGAAAGCTGAGGAGGAACTTTTTATCAGGGCAGGAAGTGACAGGACAAGAGGAAATGGTTTTACTCTGGAAGAGGGTAGATTTAGACTAGATATTAGGAAGAAATTCTTTACTGTGAGGGTGGTGAGACACTGGAACAGGTTGCCCAGGGAGGCTGTGAATGCCTCCTCCTTGGAAGCATTCAGGGCCAGGCTGGGTGGGGCTTTGAGCAACGTGGTCTACAGGGAGGTGTTCCTGTCTACAGCAGGAGCTTAGAACTAGCTGATCTTAAGGGTCCCTTCCAGCCCAAACCATTCTTTGATTCTATGATGATCTTTTATTGGGTCTGGCTGGGATGCAAGTAACCTTATTTACAGCAGCTTATATAGTTATGTGTTTTGAGTTTTGTGGCAAAAAACATTGTTGATAATACAACAGTGCTTCCACTTTTGCTGAACAGCGATGGCAGTTCAAAACTAATTTTTTACCTGTGTACCTATTTCCCCCCCAGCAAATAGGTCAGAGGTGGGCAAGGAACTGGGAGTGGACAGGTCTAGACCTGGCCAAAGGAATATTTCATATCATGTAATGCCGTGCTCAGCAATAAAACTGCAGTGGTGAGGGAAGATGAAGTAGTTTGGGGTGTGGAAAATGTGTAATCCGTTTCAGTGCTTTGGCACGAGAAGAAATTTCTCCTAATAACAAAACTGAACCCTCCTTGGCACAACTTAAGGCTGCTCCCTCTCATTCTGCTACCGTTACATGGGAGCAGAGGCTGACCCCCACCTCCTCACAACCTCCGTTCAGGCGGTTATAGAGAGCAATAAGGCCTCCCCTGCGTCTCCTCTTCTCCAGACTGACCCATCCCAGTTCCCTCAGCTGCTCCCCATCACTCCTGTGCTCCACACCCCTCACAGCTCCGCTGCCCTTCTCTGGACACACTGCAGGGCCTCCATGTCTGTCTTGTAGTGAGAATCCCACAGCTGAACACAGCCCATGAGGTGCAGCCTCACCAGTGCCAATTGCTGAGGGATGATCACCCACCTGTCCTGCTGGCTGGATTATTTCTGATACAAACCAGGATACATAAAACATTCCATAAAGGCAGCAGCATATTTCCCAGCATTACCTCTGTTTGTTGTGAACTCGCTGTCCCTGGCTTTGGCTGACCTCACGAAGTCGGCCGCCACAACCATGGGGGTGTAGCACAGCTCGCAGCCGTACCGCCGGACCAGAGTGCGGAACGCCAGCCTGCGGGGACAGGGACAGCACGGCCATACAGAGCGGACATTCGCCTCGTGAGCCGCTCTGAAGCGCCGCTCTTAAACGCAGCGCTGCGGGGCTGTGTAAATAGAACCATAATCAAACGCGTCCGCGTCCGTCGCGCCCTTGAACAACCCCAGAAGGCTCCCGCCCGCCCACCCGCCCGCCGTCCCGTCACACCGCCCGCCCCACAGCACGCGCGCCGCCAGCAGTGACTCACTTGGAGTAGCGGACCATCGGGGCACACATCTTCACCACGTGCCCAGCCCGAAACAGGCCCGCCGGGTCCGTCGCCGACCATCGTTCGCGTTCTGCCACGTCCCCGCTCATGTATAGCGAGCTCTCCCCTCACAGCCCCGCCGCGTCCTGCCCCGCCCCGTCGCTCCCTTTGCCATCATCGCCGCGCGCCGCCGCCGGGCAGTGACGCGCGGCAGGCTCCGTCGGGCGGCATGGAGGAAGCGGGCGGTGGAGCACCGGCCCCGGCGCTGGCAGAGCTGCAGGCGGACGGTGAGGCGCGGTCCTGGCGGCGGTCGGAGGCCGGGACGAGCGGGGCATTGGGCCTCCGAGGTGTCGCGTCGCAGAAAGTTTGTGGGGTGGAGGGGAGCGGGATGGCGGGCCCCGCTCCGGCGCTGTGCTGCCCAGCTGCAGCCCGCTGCCCGCGTTCGCCGCTCTTGAGGGGAGATGTGTGCCGGCGGGAGGCACGCAGGTGTCGGTGAGCCTAGCCTGCCCTTTGCACAAAGTAGCACGCGTCTTACTTCGTTAAAAGTCACCAGCGGAGTATAGTTTCCTTACGCAGCACAAGTTGGCCCCGTTGTAAGACGCGGTACGGTTCCATGAAGTTGCGGGTTTTGCCGCGCGGACTCGCTTTGATTGCAGTCTGTTCTCAGACCGGCCTCCCGTGCCGCGTTGCGCGGGTACGGGGTGTGCGCTGTTCCAGCTGGAGGAACCGGCGGTCTGAGCGCTGCCTGCTGTAGATCGTCCCTCGGTGCGACTGGTTTGAAGTGTGAAGATAACATCTGAATCGTTTTTCAGAGTGTTATGCTGACTTCTTCAGAGAGGACTTTGATGTGAAAGCTTACACGTCGCAGTCGATCCATCAGGCGGTGATAGCTGAGCAGCTCGCAAAGCTTGCCCAAGGTATCAGCCAGCTGGATAAAGAGCTTCACGTACAAGTAAGTGTAAAGCATGCCTGGTGCTCAGGGGTGGTCGATAAAGTGATTAAAAGCTGATTAGTCCAATGATCTTTGCTTTTGACGTTGCTTGGTAACTGAAGGTACAGCTTGAAGTAAAAAGAGCGGTGCATGTGATACTAACTCCATGTAGTCCCCCTCAAGGAGCTGTAAGCTGTTTTGCTTTCAGTGTCTGCACTCAGTCTCTGTGCGTGGAGGTTCCGCTATTCCTTGTAAGGGTTCCCTGACTCTCCAAAAGATCATATGGACTATCAGAAAAACTTCCCTGTCTTTTGGCATGATGGTTGTGAAAAGACAGTGCACGACTTGTCCTGTGCTGGTTAGTAGCCTGGGATTTAGTCCTTAATTTTAACTGGGCAAACACAACGTGTGCTAATACACCTCCATGCCTTCAAAAGGAATTTGAGTTTGGATAGTCAAAGGCTGAGTGATAAAATCCAAATGGACACTGCAAATCCCATCGACCTGGCTGTGAGTGTGCGTGATAAATTTGTGCTTGGTTAGAAAAACTGCTCCCCCTGCAATGGTAAATTCTTTGGAAGTTAGTTTCTAAATGTCATAAATACAAATGAAAACATTAAAAATGGAAATATACGTTATTACTGTGTTAGTATTAAGCTTACACTTATTGTTAGATATCAGTGTGTGTTGAAACATGATTGATTGTTTTTCTGACTTATATTAATACATCAACTATGCTGCAATATCTGACTCCCATTCTGAGCTTACCATTTTGTGAATCAAAACAGTTCTGAAAATGCTTTCATCTGCTTTTTTCTGTTTAAGGAAATACGATGATAATATTTTGATACCCCTTTCAGGCACACATCTCTGTTCTTATGTCATTGTTTCTATTTTTTCTCTTTCTTTTGTTTTTAAAGGTTGTTGCAAGACATGAAGATCTGTTGGCTCAAGCAACTGGAATTGAATCCCTAGAAGGTGAGATCCATCTACTGAATGCTCACGGATTTCTGTGAACACGGGAGCATTTTTAGTTTCTACATGGGAAGGTCGTTCACTTTGGTTAATAATGAAGCAGCTGCAGATCTTACAACTGAGTTGTGGCAGCTTTTTTTTTTTTTCTTTTATGTCAGCAGATGGAGCTCCTGGGAGAAGATTTGACTGATATTTCTCTGGAGTAACTATTCCATAGGCAAAAAGCTTAATAATCTGTTCTAAGCAACTTTAGCAATCAAGTTTTATTAACCTTTTAATACCGTTTTTTAATAAACAAGCCTAATTTTATTGCAATGTCTGTGAACATCAGTACCAAGTTTGTAAATTCTGCATGTGCACGTTGCATGGTTTGCAGATCTTAACTGAAGAGGCATTAATCATAACTGCACTGAAACACTGAGATTTTTCTTTCTAGTAAGAAGCTACTAGATTAAATCCATACATTTCTGTCATTCCACTGATCGGGTTCTGACTTTTAAAATAAATTGCTGACTTGTAAATACTTCACTTAGAAACTGTGAAATGTGTACAGAAAACTGATTACAGAATATGGTTCTTCTCCTTGGTGCTCATTAGACCAGCCATTCTGCTTTGTGACACTTGTTGGGAACATGGAGGGCTCTCACCCTGACATTTTTTTGACACTTAAGGCATCAGTTGAAACCACAGTTCTATGCAAACACAGATGATATTTTAATTATTGCAAAACCTGCTTCTCTCTACGGTGTTCGGGCTACACGTGGTCACTGTAATATGGTCACTGTAGAAACAATGAGTCAATATCCATAAGTAAAAGAAAAGATAAATGTTAATAGGAAATTTAATTATGAAGTTAGAAATATGGAGCTCAGAGTGTCTTCATGTGCTTAGTTTAGTAATCTTCATCTGCTTACTTTCTTGGCATAACTCACAGCATGCATAGTTATTTGGATATGTGAATCTCTAAATATTTCAAATTAATTAACCAAACTTCTAGAGTAAATTCCCAGGAACTTCTTTTCTTCCTTTAGATCTGTACACTGCTAATGGTACACTGGTTTGTTATAAATACTCTTTTCTGGTTGTGTTTCTATAAGCAGCTCACCAGATATCTTCAATCACCTGCTAGCTTGGGATAGGTTAGGTAGTATCTCATGTAGCAGACGCAGAGCGTAGATCACCTTATCAGCAATCCTAACAGTGCCTTTTGGCAAGAGGAATGTTACATTGCTGTCAAGGGTGCAACAGTCATAGATGTAGCAATGTCGTGGTACTTGCTGTCCGCTTTTTGAGTGTGGAGTAGAAAATTCAGCCCACTGTGACATCTTTTCTCTGTCTTTCATATCTTCATCTTTTTATCCATGAGGATTACATGCCTGCCATTCCATTTATAAATATAATAGGACTCCTGAATCTATCAATAAGCCAAGTTAATAATTCTGTCTTTCTGTATCATATGATAGTTTTGTTCAATTTGATGAAGGCTTTACAGAAACAGAGGATGTTTGAGAGTGCTAACAAGAATTGAAACAAAAGTAAATTCATAGGTCTGTGTTTGTGTAACTTAATTAAATTCCCAGCAGGCTGATTCTGTATTGCAAAAGTGACTATTACCCTTGACTGCTTTGTTTGCAGTTTAGCAAGGAAAGAACGACTGTGCTTGTGGGTTCCCCCTTTGTGCTGCTTTTCCAAACTAATCTGGAACAAACACGATTGGTGTAGCTTGCTCTGTTTGTAATCTAAATTAGATGATTTCCCAATGACATACCTTACTTCTTTGCTAAAGGTGCTTATGCACAGGAAGAAAACCTTGAAATGGCATTGCTTCTCACTTCTCCGTGCCTGCTGGTTTCTCTGATCTGCGTAGTTCCCTTGTTAAATAAGTTGTGGTGCTTTTTCATACCATGCTCAGGTGTTTGTATCGGGTTATATGCCTTTGAACATCAGTCCTGATCATCATTCTTTTAGAAAACAGCATTACTCTAGATATTATGGGAAGCTTAACATCTGATGAATTCCACAACAATGCATCTTCAGCAGGATTTTGGTTTTTTTTGTAGTAGTAGTGGTCAGTAATTGCTTATTACCTTCTCAGTTTATTTCTAAATACTCTGTGTCTCAATCATTTCAATATCTTTGAATGTTTTGTTATAAAGGGGGGTTGTTTTTTCTTTTAATACAGAAGTAGTCTGCTGTAGATGTCAATTATAGAAAGAAGTATTCTTCATATCATGAGTGTTACTTGTAAAACATCTGCTTTATTTTGCAGGTGTTCTCCAAATGATGCAGACCAGAATTGGTGCTCTACAAAGTACTGTTGATAGGTATGTCGTTCATGATGTGATTAGAAAGTCTGCATGCTTACTTGTTCTCTTGTGCTATTTATTAATACTTCCATAAATAAACTTCTTATTTTCAGAATTAGAGCCAAAATTGTTGATCCCTACAACAAAATAGTGTCTCGCACGGCTCAGCTAGCAAAGCTTCAGGTAAGTTGTATTAGAAATACGTTTTAAAACTCAATTTTAAAGTGTTTCATTTCCCAGTCCTCTAGAGCATTAAGAAAAGGTGACTCATCAGACATGAGTGGGATTTCCATACTCCAGTAGACTGGAGTTTGCTGTCAGTATTTCTTGGTAAAAATCAATATTCATGTGTCTCCTCATGAGATACTGAGAGGTGCTTCATATTGCAAAGTGCAAAGCTGGTCTTTGCACTAGCTGCTTTAGTTTTCCTTCAGATGAGGGAAAGTGAAAGGCTATCAGACTGCAATTTAATTACATTTTCATTTCTGTCTGGGTATTTTTAATCTTATGATGTAGTTCTGTAGGAGACACTTTTCCTCTACATGTGTTTAACTGCAGTTTAGTAAAGGGTTTGGGGAATAATTCTTACAATATAGCCACACTGCAACCTGGAGTTCTGGTGTATAAGCCCAGCTATACAGCTGTTCCTGTCTTTTAAACCGAGTCTGCAGAGAATGTAGTTTCTTTTAAAGAAGAGCAATGGGGGAGAGCTTTTTCCCAGCAATGGTAAGATGAGCATTGAACACTTCTATTTTTAACTTTATTGCGGTTGAAAACTACCCCACAGATCCCATGGATGTGGCTGCATTCTGTTCAGTTTATTTATTCAAAAGCAACACAACTCCAAATCAGGAAAGGTTTAAAGAACTACTGCTTGAACTGTTTCTCTTTGAAAAAATATTTTGAGTTGCAAAACTAAGA